TTCAGGCCGGAAGTAGCCGGCATAATGATTCAGCTTCTAGGTTTCTTGCATAGCACGAAATCCCCGTTTTGGATCAACGCTTACCCTTACTTCGCCTACAAGGATTCCCCAACCAAGATCCCAATAGACTACGTACTCTTCAACCCTAATGCTGGAATGGTTGACCCCTACACTAAGTATCACTACGACAACATGCTCTACGCTCAAGTAGATGCCGTGATTTTCGCCATGGCAAGGCTTGGCTACAAAGATATCGAAGTTGGGGTCTCGGAGACTGGGTGGCCATCTAAAGGCGACGGAGATGAGGTCGGAGCAACCGTGTCCAACGCGGCGATTTATAACAAGAATCTTCTAAGGAGACAACTTCAAGGTGAAGGAACGCCATTGAGACCAAACATGAGGCTTGATGTTTATCTCTTTGCTCTCTTCAATGAAGACCTGAAACCAGGACCAACCTCTGAGAGAAACTATGGATTGTATCAGCCTGATGAGACCATGGCTTACAATGTAGGTTTACTATCAACATCATCATCAACATCAACTTCTTCAACTTCTATTATTTCCCTCACTTCCTCCGCCTCCACGGTATGCATCAACATTTGACTTAACTTACTCTGTTTACTAGATTCCTACCTATAATTTCTTTTATATTTCTCTCTAAATATCGCATTAGGTCCCTACCACACGATACCCCTTAGACACAGCTTTGATCGAGAAATTTTTAGTTATATATATTATGACGTGTTGTTTTAGAAAGAAGAGAATTGTGATGTTTTTTTGCTTCCAGTTGTGACGTTTAATAATAGAAAAGGTCGTCTTCTCTTTTATAAATAGTTTTTAACGAACATATTATTAAGTATCGAATTTTTGGAAATATATGAGTAGTACTTACTAGTGATGTGAATCACATGATATTTATGATTATCCTCACCATTTGGTATTTTTCCTAACATTCTTTAATGAAAGTTCGTGGTTTTGATTATTACTTATTTATGTTATTTAATTTAATCAGGCTATAAAGAAGGGAAAGCAAGGGTTGATAAATTGGGCATGCGTTTATTTGCTGGCCATTCAAATGCTAATTAGAAGTCCGTACTAGAAGCAAAAACAAATTCGATACAGCTTCTACGTGTAAATAGAGTTCAGTTATTCTCAACAAGAAGCATTGTAGTATTATTGTCAAAAGTATCTCAGATGATTCTTTAGAAGAAAAGAAAAACAATCAGAATTTTTTTCTTCCGACCAATTTAATTAAGTAGCTTGAGAAAGCGAATCCACTGTATGAAAAAAATGACGAATCATATTATAAAACTGTATTATAGTCTAAAGAGTGTATGCAATGTATTATAATGTCATTTGAGAGCTAAGAAATTAAATCACTTTCAATACAGTTTTCTTGTAAAATGGTCAAATTCATATTATATACTTCGTGGAACAACTTCTTTTTTTCATGTTAAGCGGTATTTCCGGAAGTAACTAAAGGAAATTTGTTTTTAAAAAAAAGAGTAACTAGAGAAAATAATATATATATATATATATATATATATATATATATTGTCGTTTCATATGTCGTTTTGAACAAAATGAATATGGACTATTTATTGATGTATCTGATATGTTTTATGTTTTGAGTTTTAATACATCTATATACAGCTAGATACATTGGGTAAGTTAAGAGTAAAAACATATTTATTATGAAAAGAAATAAGTATAAAATAGCCCATAAATTACAACGTTTTTTTTTTTTTTTTCTTTTGCTAAAAGGCCATGAATTTTTGCGGTTACGTGAAGCAACAACTCTATTTAGTTAATTACTGTATTGTTATTACCATTTTTGTTGACAAACATATTACAAAATATTACTTTACAGTACGAATTCTATAATGATTCTATATGGCTATTAAATAATTATATATAGTGGTTGGTTACAACTAAGGTAAATCTTTAATCTTTTAACTTTTGGACGTGGAATCCATAAACCCTGAGAGTCTAAGACATACGATACCCCTCCCTTTTTCGTCTCACCGTCAACAGATGATATCTTAATTTATTATCTGCTCTAACACACACATGCATTATTGCATACACATGACACTACTCATATATGCGACTTGTAATATGAACTTTAGTACAGTGTTGCAGTGTGCGGACATTCATCAATTTACCAGTTGATTTATGTAAAAGAACAATGCTTCCTTTTTCTTCTGACGGGAGGAAAAGACGTAAAAAATTGCCCGTGTTTATGTGGTCTAAAGGTAATGGTAGAGGAAGTTTTGTTGAAGGGTAAATTTTCAAGACTTGAGTTTGATCATTCCGAAACAAAAATCACATAAAAAAGTTTGTTAATTGGATTTAAGTCCAATTGATTTATTTGAGAAGAAGAAAAACATGTGGCTTAATTACCTCTTCGCATTAGTTAGAAGGCACTTTAACAGGCAATAGAATAGCCCAAATATAGATCTTATATATATCTCATGACTTGTGTCTATTGAATGGTTTAACTAAGGTAATAGTCTAGTTTATAGTACCTTGGTGATTTCTACTTTCTACCGAGGTTAACCGAACCAGCTGATACAATTTATAAAAAAAAAAGGTTCAAAATGATTTTATATTAGGTAGCAATACAAAATAGAGTTGGACGGTCCCAACTTTACTCCATGACCACGTTTTAAGTCGTCAGCATTTTGACAATAGTCATTGGCCGTCCCTTTTCAAAGGAGCTTTCTCTCTTTTTATAGTTTTATTTCTGCTTTTTTTTTTCTCCCGACTCATTTGTGTTTTTTTTTGTTGGCCAACATGTCTTTTTATAACCTTATCTATTTTCTGCTTTTTTTTCCCCGACTCATTTGTGTTTTTGTTTTTGTTTTTCTGGCCAACATGTCTATTAAATAATAAATATCTTCATTGCTTTCCGGTTTTCCTATTCCTTTCCAAGTTCGTATATTCCATCACGGTTTTAACACAATAACGCCACCATGTATATGAAGTTTTCAATTAACAAAATTAGGGATTAAAGCCCCGCGCAAGCGCAGGGTTATTTGCTATATTTTTTCTATTTGATTTTATTTATATCCATTGATTTGAAATTTTGAATTATGATGATTATATATTAACTTCCATGTTTTGGTTATATTTTGAGTTAACCCAACAAATAATACTAACAATATATTCAATTTTTTTTATTAAGATATTAACACCTTACTTCAACTTGAGTTTTCTATTTCTAAAATTTAATATGCATTTGACTCAACAATAAAATTGGTAAACATGATGTAGAATCGCAATTGCACTCGCGGGGTTGTTTGCCATAATTTTTCTGTTTGATTTTATTTATATTTATTCATTTGAAATTTTGAATTATGATAGTTATATGTTTTTTTTTTTTTTTTTTTTTTTTTTTTTTTTGACCTCGATAGTTATATGTTAACTTCCATGTTTTGGTTATATTTTGAGTTCACCCAACAGTTAACACTAACAATATGATCAGTTTCTTTCTTTTATTAAAATATTACTCCCTCTATTTCATAATGTAAGATGTTTCGGCTTTTTCACAAATATTAAGAAATAGTTAATGTTTCACTTTTGTTGTCATCTAACTACTTTTAAGTTAATATTAACCAATAATAACTCAAGTATTTAAATAATCATAACTAATTCTTCTTGAAATTTGTAAAATGCTATCATTAATTAACAAAAAGTAATATTAAAACTCTAAAACATCTTATATTGTGGAATAAGAATAAAAGTTAGAACATCTTACATTGTGAAACAGAGGGAGTAATACACATATATTAAATATTTTAAATACAATTAATGATTTTTTTTTTGCTGATGTGGATAGCCTAGGAAAAGAGAGAAACTCTCCTATTATATATAAAACAGTAGTTAGAAATGAAAGAGCATGTACATTGTTACACTCTGTCAAATTTTCTTCATAGTGACTACCCCTAAACAAATCCTGCCAGATATGTGCCTTTTTATATGGTAGTGTCCAATTCACAATATTATTATCAAAAGAGAAAAGTGAGAATTTTAATAGAACACAGATGATTGAACGAAATTATTCATGAGGGACAAGTTAAGCTCATATTAGTTATACAAAGATGTCAATCAAAGTCCATGTTGGCAGTGGCACATGCATTAACTACTGTTGATTCTGAGATATCATTCGTTAAGACGGGATATCAAAGATGTGAGTTTAGGAAATTGGAAGCTTGATTAACTCGACGAATATTAAAGGAGGAAAATCTCGTCGACAAACTTGATGAGATGAACTATGATGAACAAGAGGAAAACAAAGAGGAAAATAAAGAGGATGCTAATGCCTAGATTTTCGGGTGCCTCAAGATATTTTTTGGATGCCTTTCCACGGATGGGGTCTTCAATATATAGTGTTGATAGGTCGGCTCCTTGGTGCATTTCCCTCCGGCGAGATGGAAAACTTCTTCTTTAGCGATATGGAAAACTTCATCTTTTCTTGATTCCCTTCGATTCTTCGAGTCGGTATGAGAGTTTATTTACATTTTCTCATGGATTGTGCCTTTCTCCTTAAGTCTTGCTATTTGTTGAGGAGGTTAGGTCCAAAGTCGGATTGGGCTTTTGTGATTTTACTAATGGTGACGGACTCAGGGAAATGTGCTAATTTCTCCTCTAACAATAGACCTCCCCTAGCTCGGCAAGTCAAATGCAGTTTGATCTTGGCGAGTTTCATGAATAAAGAGGAAGCTTAAGAGTCATTAGTAAAATGATGCCAAACCAATCCGATTTTGGTGCCTCGGTGCTTGCTGAATGTAGATTTGTGCCGCCTCATTAAAACCTTAATATGAAAAAACCCAATTGGGACAAAAACCATAAGAAGGAAAAAGAGTACGTTGACGTCATCTAATTCCAAAAAGAGTGCATTTCAAATGGTCCTTACCAAGACCGAGAATGCTTTCTCGTCGAATTTAAATATTTTTTCTTCGCGTGCCGCGACGAATTAAACTGATTTCTGTCCACGTATGGATGGGATTTGCCACATCACTGCGCAGATGGACAATACTCCCTCTGTCCCATATTATAAGCAGTTGGACAAAATGTATCTGAAAAAAAGTGGATGTATCTGGACTGAATTCCATCCAGATACATTCACTTTTTTTCAGATTCATTTTGCCCAACTGCTTATAATATGGGACAGAGGGAGTATGTTTTAAAGCTACGCGAATCGGGCCTAATAATCGGTTTATTTGCGAAAAGGCCCAAACCCGTTAAGATTTTCCTAAGCGGGAAAATAAATGATTAAAGAAATTACAAGGGAAGTTTTCCCCTTGGAATTCGCGCGATCTCTATTAAGAGACCGTTCAAATTTCTCTTCCTCATTTATTTCTTTTTCTTCTCCACACTCAACTGCCTCGACCAGAAAAAAGGTAACTTTCTCAATCCCACTCTGAATCTCGTCTCGATTGATTTCTTGAGTTTGATTCTCCAGAATTTAGGTATAGGAACTTAGGAATTGCTCGAATCCACTTAGATTGCGTCCTGAATTCGTCTTTTTTTTTTCTCGCCGATTTCGCTTTCCGATTCCTAGGGTTTTTGCTTCGTCGAATTCATTGATCCACGCGAATGCGGATGAGGTGCACCGGAGGAAAGCGGCGGAGAGTGACGCAGAGGCTGCTGCGGATGCTGAGAGAGTGGCCGACAAGGCAGATCGAGATGAGATGGAGAGGGTAGCCGCCGAAGCCGAGCGATGAGAAGCGGCGGAGAAAGCGAAGCAAACAGAGGAAGAGGAGTGCGATTCTGGTGATGAATATGACTCCGACAAGTGGTATCATGACGGGATGCCATCGGACCATCCTGATGCCGAGCACGACGATGATGAGACGGGAACTTCTGGCCAAGCGAGGCTTGACGGCATTCCGGATGTGATCAAGATGCCGAAACGTACGGCGCCTACGAGTTTGATTGATGACGGGAGGTCGTGGATGACGGAGGAGATTCTCAAAGACCTTATAGCGAGGGCCGAGTTCCCTAATTCTCTGGAGTTTCGCATCCCGGAGCTTCTCGAAAGGCCTTACGATGCTCCGCCGGGATGGGTGTGCGTTTATGAGTGCATGTTCACCGAGTTTGAGATGAATTTCTCTCTTTCTCCTCTGCTTCTGAGGTTCGCAGCAGAGCGCGACGTCCCCACGAGTCTGTTGACTCACGGCGTTGTCCGCCACATTGTCTTTACCGAGGCTCTGACTAGGGCCGCTGGGGTCACGTTCGACCGGCTGCTATTTGAACATGTCACGGATCTTCGAACCGGATCGACGTGGAAAAGGGACTTCAAGTGGTTTCATACCACAATGAAGCATGACATTGTCTTCCGGGATTACCGGAGCAAGATTCACTGGTGGAAGAACTATTTCTTCTTTGTCAAGATAAGTCGCGCCTCGGTCGGGAAGATCAAAGCTGATCAGATTAGGACGGAATGGGTTACATCGCCGGGTAGAATACTTTGTAGAATTAAAATTATTGTCTCGTCGTGCTTGTCGAGTTGCTTTTTCTAATGAATTTTTGCCTCTTTTTTTGCAGGACCATCTAAACGGACGAAACCGAGCAGCGAGCTCAAAAAGAAGTTCAAGCTGTTGAAGGAGCTTAGTCACGAGCTCTGGCCTGAGGTCACGGCAGTGCTCGAGAAGAAGAGACAAGAGAGAAGGAAAGAGCAAGCCTGCTGTTTCCGCGACCCCGATATCTAGTAAGTGTCTCGTTTTTCTTTGCACGTTTGGTCTTGTCACAGACGACTAACTTTGTATTTTGCCTTGTTGTTGCAAGACCACTTCGTTCCAAGAAGAAGCCAATGGGTTTCAAGAAGAGGACTCCAATTGATATTGGTGATGCCGTTGTTGCTTCGAAGCTGGCGCCGAAGAAGAGAAGGATTGAGTCTCCGAAGCTGAGAGATTCTCTTTCTCCTCCTCCCCAAAGTTCTTCCGTCGCGTCGCAAACGAGGTAAGTCTTCCTTTTTTTTTGGCGAATGTGAGAACTAGATAGTCTCGGGTTTTGATGCTGAGTATTGGTGCTTTGCAGGGCTTCATCACAGGTGAGGACGACCTTGTCTTCTGCTGCCGAGAAGACTCCGGAGAGGGTGATTGTCCTTGACTCTCCTCCTTCTTCGGATCAAGATGACGAGGAGTCCCGTCAAGACGAGAGTGCGTCTCGTCAAGATGATGATCTGGGAACTCCGCAACGTGATGCTTTACCTGCTCAGGGAGAGGAGTTCCTTACTTCTCGCGACGACGGTCCCTCTTTTGATCAGCGCAGGAACGGCGGTCCTGAGGAAGGTGGATCGTCTCGTCGTCCTGGAGAGGATCCCTTCGATGATGATGAGAAGATGTCTCTTTATTCAGAGGCAGGTGGTTCTGTTCTTGAGTCTAATCCTGGTGCTAAGGATGATGTCGAGGTGCCAAAGACTGAGCCCGGGAGTTGTAATCCTAATGTGGTGAAGACATGGTGATATAGTGATGGTCCTCTTATGGAGAATCGGGATGCTTGTGGAGGAGCGACATGGGCCTCCAAAATTCATCCGGGCTGGGGACTTCCGCACGAACAGCTCACTTTTAGGGGTGACTTTGATGAAGCGTCCCAGCATCACGTCATATATGGCGGAAAATTCGCCGCACTGATTCAGAAGTATGAGACGGCTCTCCGAGCGGCTAAGGATGAGGTCTCGAAAATGCAGTGGGAGCATGAGAAGGCCAAGGACGTCGACGCGATGGTTGCCGATTTGAAGCTCGACAAGCTCGCTCTTGAGGGATAGGTCACGGCGCTGAACAAGGAGATAGTAAAGACTCTCAGTCTTCAAGATACGGCGGAGAAGCTGAGGGCTCAGGTTGCCGATCTGGAGGAGAAGTCCCGTGGGATGCTGAGGTTGTTGCTGCTGAGGTTGTTGCTCCTGAGGTTGGGCGTCTTTGTTGGTCGCGTCAGGAGTGGGCTGTAGTGGCTGCTCTCCAGGTTTACAACTCTGTGAACGACTGGTACGTTCCTCGTCTTCGCCGTCTCTCGGATTTCGTCACCCAGCAGGACGCGGTCGAGGCGGCTGTAGGGAGGAGGCAAGTCGACGAAGCTCTTCTCGACTTTGTGAGGAAGATCAGGGGGGTTGATCTGGATTTCGACGCGGTGGAGAGAATGCTTGAGGCAAGGTTGGCGAAGAGTATCGCGGATGGAGACTCGATTGATGAGGTCATCATTGATGATGACGATTTTGCGAAGCCTTGCGGGTAAGATTTGCTTATTTGTGCTTATATTGCGCTTTGATAGTGCATTACGGTGTGTTTACTTATGCGTGCGTTTGTTTCTGTAGCCTTTCTATGTCGGAGCTGACGCTGCCGAAATCTCCGTCTAGGCGAGACGACACGAGTCCGGGTGCGGGACTATCTGCTTCTGGGGCCAAGTCTGCTTAGGCCGATCTCCTTTTAAATTAGAACTCTTTTGGCCGCAGCTTTTTGGTTATAATAACATTGCCCGGGAGGGTTTTTATCCATATGCTTAGGATGTTTAAGATTTATGCTAGTTACTTATCATGCTTTTAAGTTTGTTTTTGTGCTTTTGCTTGGGTGATAGCGTAGTCACGATTTAGACATAATTGATTAATTCACAGCGCAATGAAAGTAGTCCGGCTTTTGATTATGTCTTTTAATAAAGGACGAAATGCCATCACCCGAATAGATTGAACTAAGTACCCGATTGTCATCGGATAGAAAGTTTGACTGTCGGGACGACTCCTTATCTTTAAGTATCACGACTTGATGCGTATGATGGTGCTAGTGCGTCATGACGAGACGCGATGCTTAAGCGGTTTGTCATGACTTTTCATTAGAGACATCGACCAATGCGTATTAGGTCTGTATGCTAGCATGATAAACCTAATTTCAGCGACAAGCTCTAGAAACTCGATTTATGCTTCCGACTTCAAAGCTTTGTGCGGGTGACGAGATAGCGGTTTTTTGTTCGTCCGACAAACTGTGAGCCGTGCCAAGTGCGTGCTCTCGGCTTAAGTGAATGGGTGATCAGTCCATGTTTTTGGGTGCAAAGTGCGAGTGCTTATCGAGTTTGCATCGAGTTTAGTTTCGGTTTGACCTCAAATGAGTGCGTGCTTAATATTCTATATCGACAAGTTTTTGATTATGCTGGGATGAGGCATGCTTGCCGAGATGAAAAGGACTTTGAATAAAATAAAAGCTTTTTATTTTATTAAGTATTATAGCTGCACCCTTAATAAAAAAGGCTGCCTATGTACCCGTGTTGGGATCAAGCCATCCGTAGTTTGTTACAAGTGTTCGTGCAGTGAACATATCTTTTTTTTTTTTTTTTTTTTTTGACTAGTGTGGTGCTTCGCGTCTAGTTATGGAACTTGCGCAGGTCCGTTGAGCTCCATAGGCATTCGGACGTGCTGCCGAGGTTGTCTTCGAGCTGATAGACTCCCGGCTTGATAACTTGTGCAATGCGGTACGGTCCTTCCCAGCTGAAGCCGTATTTGCCGAGATGATCGATCTTGTCGTCGTCGGACTTCCGCAGGACGAGGTTGATGAGTGCAAAGCGGAGGTATTGATCGCGGGATCAGGTCTTCCCTTTTCCTATCCCTGATTCTGCAAGTGCACAGGTCAGAAGTAGTAAACGGGTATCGAACACGAGGACCAGATTGCACACTACAAACTATGAGATTGAGATCGAGCTAGGGCAAACAGTATAAGATTGGTTGAGTGCAGTGAAAGTAAAGCATGCAAGTAAAGTAAGCAAGTAAAGAAGGTTGAAATCAATAGAAGATGAGAGCTAAACAATAGGATAGTCTTAAGATAAGCAATTCATGAAGCAAGGATCAATCAATTAGGGTTATTGCAATTAGGTGCCATCTAGAACTCGAAACACTATGGTATGATCTTTCCACTTTCGTGGCTCCGACCCCTTTGTTAATCTCCTAGTCGCTAAACTTTTGGTATGTCCCTAGGTGATTAAATCAAGCATTAGTTCGATTAAGTTCAATTGTTCACAACCTACAAGTAAATCAACTTTCGCAGTCTAAAAGAGGTTGCCCACCAAATACTAGTTCAGGCGAATGATACAGCACTTTCGAGGCTCAAATCAACCTTAGATCATATGCTAATTGGCCAGATTAACAACAAGCATTAAGTATAAGCAAAGATGAAGATTATAAGTAAAACCCTAATTCATGTGATCGATCATCAAGCATACATGAATGCCATCCTTTGACTTCCTATCACTTAACAAGTAAACTACTCAGACATAGAGAAGGAAAACAAATTCATATTCATAAGAACAGAGATTCGAATCCTCTCTTGAAAGAGAACAAACAAGAACAAAGTAAAAGCAAGTAAGGCAAATTCACAAGATCAAATCAACAATGCACAACAAAACAAAGCTAAATGATGCAATCCTAAACAAACCTAACAAGTATGAATGCAAAAAGATGAAATAAGTATGATGCATGAAAAATTGAAATAAGAACAGAATAAACAAGGTTAAATAATCTCTTGAACCCTCCCTCAAACTTAAATCATATAATCCCTTGTGTGAAAGAAGTTCAAGGAAAGATTCAAGAGGGAAAAACCAAGAAAAATCTTTAAAAAAATGACATGAAAATGAATGGTATTTACAAGGGAAAAATGTTTGGTACCTTAGTGCTCATCCCCAAAGAGCTGGGAAGCTGATGGTGGGTTTAGATTGCCTCAAATTTTCACAATTTATAAACCCAACTAATGAGCTGCAAGTGCACAGCCGTGTTGTAGTCGGGGTCGAACACGAGGAGGAAGTGTTCTCGCTTAACACCTTGTGAGATTGGTTTAGCTAGCTCGCAATATGAGATGGTTTTGGACCTAAATGAGAAAACAAAACAAAGAAATGTGAGTGAGGTTGTAAACAATTTAAAACAAGAGTTAGGCAAAGGACAATCATATGGAGCAATGATGAAAAGATAGTTGCATGGGATGTGTGTAGAGCCGTCTTGAACATGAATCACTAGTGTATGGTCTTTCCACTGTCGTGGCTCCAACCACTATGTTTAAAACAACCTAATATACTCAGCTTTCGTTGGCTATTAGAATTGCAAACATGCATTAAAGGTGATCAAGATTCAATTGTTCACAATAAACCATAACTCAGCTTTCGTTGGCTATGATCTATTGCTCACCAAATACTAGTTTTGAGATCTAGATTCAGCACTGTCGTGGTTCTATTTCTCTAAGATCAGATTACTAGATGTACGGTAGAGTAATCATGCATTAAGCTCAAGTAAAGGTGAAGATCCATAAGATAAATCCCAATAAGTTGCAACACAATCAAATCATCACGGCCACCATAGATCTCCTCGGCCTAACTAAGAGATCTACTCGGCCATGATGCAAACAAGCAAGCAAAGCATGATTGTAAACATTATGCAAGTATTAAAAGAGATAAAGGGATGAAGAAAGCTTCTCTATTGATGAACAAAGTCGGATTCTCCCTTGAAAACTCTTAAGATCAAGTTTATAGAAATGGAAACAATGAAAAAGAAAGAACAAGAGTTGAGCGGCGCCTCCTTCTTCTTGGACGATCTCCTAGGGCTTCTCTCTCTGGCCTCTCTTCTCACACTCTCTTTCACAAACTCACACGCACGATCTCTTCTTCAGCGGCTAAAAACATGTATATATGGGCGAAGTCGCGTAGGGTTTTCTTCATGCCGGAAAAGGAAAGTTTCCCATGAGCCGAGCCTTCTTCTCCACGTCGTGTATGGGCCGACATTGTACCAAGGAAAGCTCCAAACATTAGCCAGGCCTCTTCTCTATTCGATCAAGGCCTTTGGCGCTGCTGCTCGGGCCATTAGACACTCCAAATCCTCCATGGGCTTCGTTTGCTCGCTTACCGGACATGTCTCGGTAGAAAATAAGTTCTAGGCCTCATAGTTGATCCAAATGGCTTCATTCCACTTCGACGTGATGCATGACTCAAGTATCTATCTTTCCATATCAAGATCGTAACTTTTGGACGTCGGGAACTCCTCCGCGCGCGGCCAAACTTCCGAAGCTTCGTTCTGCGCGCTAGCGAGAACTAACACTTGGAGATAAAATGATCTTCTTGACTTGGAAACTTGCATGGATCTTGGTTTAGGGCTCTTTTACTCCTTTTTGCATCCTTTTTGATGGTTTCACCTACAAAGACTTCAAATCCCACAAATACAAGAAAACTACCTCTAAAGGCAAAGAATCTTGCAAAAATGGTGATATCAGAAGCAAGGTCTTGAGTAGGAGAAGGAAGGCGACCATCAGGGGTACTCCATTCGACAATGTCTGTGCAACCTTCATTTATGTGCTCTTCATCATCATTAGCAAAGTGTGTGTGGCTGCTTTGACCTTGATGGAATCTAGCTCGCTCAAACCGGTTGTATGGGGTCCAATTGCTCTGATAGAAGTCCTGATAGGACGCTTGATCAAAATCATAGCTCGGATGCTCGAATTGCGGCTCCTTTGGGTCAACTCAATCCTCAGCTTGATCGAGTCCATCTGTCGAGTCAGAACGTCTGGTTCTGGAACTCTTTCTCCTCTTCTGTCTGCTGGCTTCTGACTCTCTAGCTCATATGACGAGGCTCTGGGGGGTTCCTGAGCAGAAAGTCCTGCTTAGTTGGGTGAGCACAGAGCGACTCCTAAGGAATTGGGAGGTGGGAGTTGCCTTAGACCTTTTGGATGAGGATCCCTTGACTTTCTTCTCCAAAGTCTTGATTTTGCTGACCATCTTGTCCATGGACTTCTGCATCTTCTTCATTGCCTTCTCTTGCCACTTGTTGAACTTTTGGAGGAGTCCAATCCTCTTGTGAGCAGCTATAACAGAGGGATTCATTCTTCGAGCTCCATACTCCTCAAAATAGTAGCAATTTGGCTCACCTAGTTCTTTATCAACGTGGACCTCTTCCTCAACTCGATCCTCAGCTCGATCGAGTTCAGTCTCCTCTTCTTGCATCTCAGCTTCATGCCCAACAAATGTACGACGTGGAGGGAAAAAGTCAATGTTGTCACCTCCCCTAACTGTTGTGAAGTCATGATTTGGTAGAAGCATCTTGGAAACTCCAGCAGTGGGATACTTGAATAGGAATTGGTACATCCCATTCACCTACTTTTGATCTATGAGCAGATTTGTCTTGCAAAACTTGATGTCCATCCAACCAGGAGGAGTGACATCATGGCGAGATGGATCCACACCAGCAGCATACAAAATAGGCGTGATAAGGCCTCCTACACTCAGCCTCCTATTAGCTATGTGGCGAGTGTTGTAGGCTGTTATCTTGTAGTTGAGGAGCTGGTCTAAGAAAGGAATGAGGTTCCCGTGTCTGAGGTGTCTCCCTTGATGGCTCTTCCCTCTCTTGTTCAAGGGAGGATTGGTTTGATCCCCATATCAAGTAGTTGTAGCTCCCCTTCAGTGATTTTGCATGTTGCCTTTCTTGCAAAGAAGGTGTTGGCAAGCGCCTTGTGCACATATCTTAAAACTGGGCTCCTGATTTGAGCATTCTTGGACCTTGAGGATGAGTAAACTCCTTCAACGATTGTAGTCCAAACACTTTGGAGCTCTCTCTTCTTGAACTTCCACTCAGTTCCTTCCCCATAATTGAAATCAAACAAGATCTCAAGCTGGCTAAATGTGACCTCCTTCTTAACTCCATCAGCCAAGAATGTGATCCATCCCAACCCTTGATCTAAATAAGCTCGATCCTCTTCTTCATACCGGTGATACCTCAATGAATCTAGGAACTCACAAGTGAGCTCCTTGTATGACTCCATCCTATGAGAGAGGAACCATGCCAAGTGCATGTTCTTGAGCACCAATTCCACATCATCAAAGATCCCAAGCCCCTTCATGGTTTTGTCATGTGGGTACTTGGTTTCCACAAAATCCATGGAGAAGAGGGCATCATAATGCTCTTGGAACATGGAGAGGTGATGATAGGATTTTACGGTGGATGTGATAAGATATGAGGTGGAATGCAAACAGGGGTGAATAAAGATGAAATGGTATGGTGCAATCACAATCAATCAATTCCTCTTAACCATCATAGTCAATGTAGTATAAGAGGTTATCAATCCAAAATGGGAGAACTTATCACTCTATGAGAATATGAAATAACAAGGAAGTCAAGCAAGCAGTAGTAGATATGGGATAACACTAACAACCTAACAAATTGAAATGCAATGCAGGAATATAAATAAAAGCAGTAGAGCAACAGCTCGACCAAGGACTCGAGTCGAGTTGGAACAGAGTAACGAGCTCGATCGAGTTTAGGGTCGAGTTGAAGTAAAAAGCAGTAAAGGCATCGACTTTAATAAGCTAGAACGAACAATAGGGTCTAAGACAGGGTTTAACAATCAGAGGAGGCTATACTTAATCGATCTTGCTTTCAAACGACTTGTATCAAGGTATCTCTTGATATTGAGCTTCTCAATGCCTAGCTAACCCTTTCCCAAGGTGAAAGCTATCAACCAAGACTTGATCTCAGAAACAGGGGGTTAGCCAGTGAGAATCAAGCCTTGGAGGCCATAGGATCATTGCTCAAACTAATCCATCCAACCCCTTAGACCTCCATTTTCTAGAGCAAGAGTTATTGGAGCTCTTAGTGGACCTTTCCAACGATTTCCATCACTTCCATGTGGAGAATCGTCTATGGACATACAAGCCAGGGATAGTGGTCATGTAGCCTTAAGGTTTGTCCAAAAGAGAGAGATTTCTAATCCTAGCTCAGTCCACAATGAAGAAAGTCAACTTTGTGTCTGCTGAGGAGATGGAACCAGTCCAAGAAGGGGAGGATACACAATTTGCTGAGGTATGCTACATGAGCAATGGGCAAGGAGGTTACAACAAAGGATACTATAACTACAAGTCCAACCCTGCTATGTCATACCGCAACACTGATGTTGCTAACCCTCAGGACCAAGTCTATCCTCAACAACAAGCAGCTCGATCGAGTCAAGGACAACATGGGTATGGTCAAAAGAACAATTACCAAGGACCACAAGGCACTTTCCCTGGACAACAAATGAATATCCCACCAGGCTTCCCCCACCAACCGCCCCAGCCTGCACCTTCACAAGAGAATGAGCTCAAAGCAATGCTAAAGCAACTACTTCAAGGGCAAGCTGATGGGGTAGTGGACACAAGCAAGAAGCTAGCTGAAATAAACTCTAAGATCGAGAACCTCAACACAAGGGTTTACTCTCTGGAGAATCATGCTTCTTCTGTTGCTGCTGCTACAAAGCAAGGACAACTACCTGGTAAAGCTATTCAGAACCCCAAGGAACAGTGCAAGGTCATCTTCACTCAAGAAGGACTTGTTGAAGAAGAGGATCAAGAAAGGGTCATTGAAGATTTTTGTTTACTGCTGAATGATGAAGAGATTGTTGCTGCTGAGGCTCCTGGAGTCCAGATTGATCAACCAGAAGTGCATGCACCTACTGTGGCCATTCACACTTCACCAGTTGAGCTCGCACGACAAGCTCGATCGGCAGCTCGATCGAGTCCGACAGCCTGTTTTGCTTGATCCTTATCAACCGGTTGCCGCTTCCTCGTCTCGCCTACTTAGTCAAGGTCACAAGGAAGTGATTCACAAGTTCAGAAGAGATCTCAGTGGGATTGGAATTGAGTTGCCTCTATGGATAGCATGAGTGAGGCATTTGATCAAATGCAAATGGTCAAGGATGTTCTAGCCAACAGTGATAAAGTTTCAGAGGTCCTACAAGAGTCTACTCATCAGTTCAACCTGCTTACTTCACCCACCTTCCTACCAAAGGTCAAGGATCAAGGGAAATTCACTCTCCCTTGCACACTTGGGCATCTTGAGATTGACAATGCCTTAGTGGATTCTGGAGCAAGCATCAATCTGATCTCTCTCTCCATGGCAGAGAAGCTAGGCATAGCTGGAGCCTTGCAGCGCCCTACTACTTCAATCATCTTTGGAGATGCAACTACTAAGTCTCCTCTTGGAGTGTTCAAGAACTATCACTTGAAAATTGGAGAATGCATCATCCAAACTGATCTCACTGTGATGGAAATGGAAGAAGAGAAGGATTTGCCTTTTATTGGGAACCCCTTTCCTTAGTACAGTTGGCGCTTCAATTGACTTTCACAAGCAAGAAGTGATCCTTCACAAGGTGAATAGTTTGGTGTCATATCGCTTGCAGCCTAGAGGTTCAGACTTTTGTGCCACAATTGACAGTACCAATCTCAGTTCTAAGAGTCATGGAGCTACAAAGGTTGTGAAGGAAAGGGTTGACAAGGAACCAAGAGTTGGGAAGGATAAGGATGAGAGAGGACCAAGGATTGAGAAGCCACGTCTTGAGAGGGCTAGAGTTGAGAAACCACGATCTGATAGGCCAAGAGCTGAGCGACTTGTTCAAGCCCCTTGTGTGCTTGATGAAGAGAGCCTTCAAGCTTTGTTTGATGAGCCACTAGGAAGGGCTCTAAAGAAGGGGAGGATGCAGCCTCTAAGGCAAGACCAGGAGATAAAAGAAAGGATCCACCAGCTCAGGCCCCTTCAGTCAAGCCATCTCAGCTCACAATGACTTTGTTCCCCACCAAGTTTGAAAATGGGAAGATTGAGTACAAGATAAGGTACAAGGGGAGATCAAGGCCATTCTCTAGAGCCAAGGCCTTGGTGACTTCAGAACAGTCCAGGGACCCAACCAAGCTAAAGGAGCTTCTGTCTCAAGTCCTCACTATCACCCTTGATGGTGGGACTAGCTCAACCAATGCCTAAGAAGGTAAAGGTCAAGCTATGGGACCTTAAACAAGCTCACTTGGGAGGAAGTCCCATGTTTATCCTTGTACATACTCTATTTATGCAATTTCTATCTATCTTTATGTTTTTAACCTTTCAATAAGTTAAGTTTAGGTGTCAAGGAGCCAGCTCGACCCACAGCTCGATCGAGCTAGAAACCAGGGCAACTCGACCAAGGTAAGTTTTTGAATTTCAAATTCATAACCGTTTTCTTGGTCAAGGGAGTGGGTCCCACAAGCTGATTTTGGTCCCCCACTACCCTAATTCGATCAGAGAATCCCTAGTTTCTTGTTCCCTCTTTATTTCATCTTTTAATCTCAACCACACATCTCAAACAACTCTCTTCCCCATAACTCGATCGAATCCACCTTCTCTCTCTCCCACACTTAAATTTCTGAAATCATCCATCTCTCTCTTCACCACAAGAAAAATCGATTTCAATCCTCTCTTAAGTTTTTGCGATTTCTTTGTTCTTCATCTTGTTTTGCTTAGTTCTTAGTTTACTGCTCTTCAATTCCATCATTCAAGCAAGGTATGAACCCTAAAACCCTTGATTCTTCATCTCGATTCCTATTGCTTGTTTCCTCTTGATTTTTGATTGCATGTGTCCCTTGTGGACTTGTTATTGAGAATTTGCTTTCATTTTCGCCTCTGCCTTATAACTTGTTAGTTTGCTTCACCTCACCTCTGTTTTGCCTTTAAACTTGTTGCATGTGCTTGAAATTGAATTTGAGTTTGGTATGGTTAGGTTGCTATGTTTTTCACTAGAATTGCTTATTGTTCCATTTACTAGTTGTTCTTGGTTCAATTTGATTGATTAGCATCCTTTCCAGCTCTTAATACATGAATTAGGTTTGGTTATACTCTGTTTTCACCAACTCGATCGAGTTTGTCACTCGAGTTTTTTGACTCGATCGAGCTGAGTGTCGAGTTGACCAAACCGATCATTACAACTCTAATTCTTTGAACTTTTGATGCATTTCAGGACCAATCTAAGATGTTGAGAGGTGAAGGAAGCAAGCTAGCGTTCACAAGGATGGAGATGATAAGAGGAGCAAGGAGGATACTCAAAACACAAACCAAGGAGGACATAGAAGAGGTTGAGAGGGTGAGGGAGGAAAGGAGAACCAAAAGAAGGAATGATCCTCTCAGCAGTGAGAGCGAAGCAGGAGAGTTTGAAATTGGGGTGAACATCCCACATGAGGAGAATGATGACTCCCAAGTGAAGAAGAGGGTGAAGAGATCAATCAAGAGATTGAGGAGAGTGAGCATGAGGGCAATGAGAATGTGCCCATGGAAGAGGAGGAGTCAAGAAGAAGAGGATGAGCTCCCCATGTACCAAGAGCACTATGATGCTCTTTCTCCATGGACTTCATGGACACCAAGTACCCACATGTTGACACATGAAGGCCCTTGGAATCTTTGAAGATGTGGAGTTGGTCCTCAAGAACATGCACTTGGCCAAGCTCTTCTCTACCACATGGAATCCTACAAGGAGCTCACTTGCGAGTTCCTAGCTTCAATGAGGTACCACATGTATGAGGAAGAAGATAGAGCTGATTTGGACCAAGGATTGGGATGGATCACGTTCTTGGCTAAGGGAGAGAAGAGAATGGTGACCTTTAGGCAGCTGGAGATCTTGTTTGGGTTCAACTATGGAGAGGGAACCAAGTGGAACTTCAAGGAAAAGGAACTCCAAAGGGTTTGGGCTACAATCGCTGATGGAGTGTACTCTTCCTCAAGGTCAAGGCAGCTCAGATCAGGAGCCCAGTCTTGAGATATGTGCACAAGGCACTTGCCAACACCTTCTTTGCAAGGAAGGCAACCGGGACAATCAACGAGGGGAACTCAAGTTTCTTGACATGGGAATCAAGCCCTTCTCTCACGCACAAGCGATGGCAAGAGGATAAGGGGAGATAGATCTGACACAGGGAACTTGATGCCTTTCCTTGACCACCTCCTCACCTACAAGATCACAGCTTACAACACTAGGCACCAAAGAGGAAGAAAGCTTAGTGTTGGAGGGCTCATCACACCTATCTTGTGTGCTGCTGGAGTAAACCCAACTGATAGGAGAGCTACTGAACCAGGTTGGATGGACATCAAGTTTTGCAAGACCAACCTCCTCATTGAGCACAAGGAGTTGGATGGGAGGTTCCAATTCAAGTTCACACATCCATTGGTGGACCCTCCAAGCTTTCTCCTGCCTAACCCAGAGCTCACCACAGTTGTAAGGGGTGAGAACATTGACTTCAGACCCCCTGTGTACACATTAGTTGGGCATGAGGATGATTGCGAGAAGAGGAGCCTGAGCTCGATCGAGCTGAGTCTCGAGCTGAGGGTCGAGCTGAGGATCGAGCTGAAATCAGGTCCAGGAGCGCTGATTTGGGTGAGCCTGAGTGCTACTACTTTGAGGAGTATGAGGCTCCAAGGATGAACCCCTCTGTTGTGGCTGCCCACAAGAGGATTGGACTTCTCCAAAAGTTCAACAAATGGCAAGGGAAAGCCATGAGAAGATGCAAAAGTCCATGGACAAGATGGTGAGCAAGATCAAAAGTTTGGAGAAGAAGGTTTCTGGTTCTTCAAGCAAGAAGAAGTCCAAGGCCCCCACATTCCCTAGGAGTAGGTCACTCCTCACCACCAAAGGAGGCTCCCTGCCCAAGAGCCTCACAGAGCCTCTTCTTTCGAGCCAAGAGAAGGAGAGGACAACACGCAGAGAAGGAGGAAGAGTTCTAAGGCCAGACGCTCCAGCTCGACCACCGGACTCGATCGAGTCCAAACAGAGGAAACTCAACTCGATCGAGCTGACGGTCGAGTTGACCTGAGGAGCCCCTAGTTTGAGAACCCTGGGATTCGAGTACGATCAACCCAGTACCAGGACTTCTCTCAGACCGCTGGACTCCCTACAACCGCTTCGAGCGAGCACAGCTCCACCAAGGCCAAGGAAGCCACACCACTTTGAAGATGAAGAAGAAGAGGAGAGGAGCCACAAGCTCGATCGAGTGAGCCGAACCCAGTTGAGTGGAGCGCTCCTGATGGCCGTCTACCATCTCCAGACCACGACCTAGCCTCCCAGTTCTTTGGGGGGCACTGAGGTATCCAAACACCAACCCTTGTATATACCATTTCATATTTTCTTGCTTTGTTCTTGTTTTTTCTTGGTTTTGCCCTCTTGAATCTTTCACTAAATTTTTCTCACACAAGGGACTGTGTGATTTAAGTTTGGGGGAGGGTTCAAGAGATGATTTAACCTTGTTTTCTTTGTTCTTAGTTTTTCATTTATCTTTTGCATAGAAAAACCAAAAAAATCATAAAATTTTCAAAAAATCCAAAAATATTTTCATCTTTTTGCATTCATATTTGTTAGACTTGTTTAGGATTGCATTTTTCACTTGCATTGTTGATTTGACTTTGAAAACTTGTCCATCTTTTGCGATTTCTTGAGTGCCCTGTTTTTAGATTCTTTTGTGCATTAGGGTGAGATTGATTGAGCAGCAAGAACCATGTTTATCTTGATCATATCGCTGCATGCACATCTCATTCAACCATTGCTGTGATTTGATGCATTTCCCTATCTATTTGAACCATAACTTGATCTTTAATTACCAATGCTTGCATTTGATTTCAACTCATGGCTACCACATACATATCTGGACATTCTTTACTTTCATATCCCTTTGCTTGTCCAGATAGCTGATCTCTATCTTTGAGACAGTTACCACACCTTAAACCTAAGCCTTTTCATTTCAAACCCCTTATTATCTCTTGTGCGAATGTGAGAACCTTTCTTGGCTTTGCTTAGCATAAGGTGTTGTGTTTAAACCGGCAGGGGCAGTAGTTCTAGTTGTCTAGTTCTCTTGGGATTGTTTTCAGGCTAAGTTTGGGGGTGCCAACTCGAGCTCGATCGAGTTGGGTGTAAAAACCAGAAAAGTGGTAAAAATTGGGAAAAACCCAAAGGAAAAAGAGTTTAGTTAAGTCCAGGGAGTTGGCAGTGTTTAAAAGGGTCTAGTAAAGGTTTGGGAAGTTAAAAAAGGAAGTAAAAAGGGTTCTAAGTAGAATGAAAAGAAGGCAAAGCCTCAAGTGTCAAAAAGGAAGAAAAGTTCCCTAAGTGTTTAGAAAATCCCAAACCGCTAGATGTTACCTCAAGAAGCCTCTCCCTAGGAAGTTCTTAAAAGAAAAGTGAGCAAAGCTCCTCAGTTTCAAAGGCGAAATGCCAAAAAGGGTAGTTAGGATTTTGTTCTAAAAAGCTCTAAGTGTTGAACTCGATCGAGTTAGGATTAGGCGGCTCGAGCTGCTGTTCTTGCATCATCTTTGGTTCTAACACTTAGCCTTCTGCCAAAGCAAAGCCACTTTCTTGAGAGATCCCTGTTACTAAACCACCATACAAAAGAGACCCTCTTTGTCTCTTAACCCATAAACCCTTGAAACCAAATGAGTTGATTGATCTTGCATGTTTTTGGTTCACTGTTTTTGCTTAATGAATGTTAAAGGGATTTGCTGATTTGAATGCATTGTTTGAGTGACTGTGAAGTGGGATTGATGTTGATAAGCATGGTTAAATCTTAATGAATATCTCTCACCTTGTTGCATTCTAGAATCTCTAAGTTGGACATTTAGCAAATCGCTTTTGAGGACATGTTTTTAAGTGTTGAATCAGCTGTTTTCAAACCTCATCTCTTTCTTGTTCTATTTGTTTGCTTGAGGGCAAGCAAAGTTCAAGTTTGGGGGTGTTGATGTACTTGCATTTTACATAGTTTTAGCACATCTTTTATGCATCTTTTGCATAGTTTTAGCTTCCATTTGCATCATATCTTGTTCCTTTTCTCTTCTTATGCATTCATGTTAGTTTTAGGTTGCATTTGCATACATATGCATGTTTGGTCCTTTGAAATAGGTCTTTTGGAGCATTCTGGAGCATATGGGACATGAGGAGCATGGAGGGACTTGGCACATGGAAGCAGCTCAACTGGATACGCAAAGGAAGAAGGGAGAAGCCATCTTGAAGACCAGCTCGACCGTCTACTCGACCAACCGGTCGAGTTCCTCAACTCGACCGGCCAAGCTTCAACTCGATCGAGCTGGAAGTCAAAGTCAAACCCGAAAAATGTTGCTTCCCCCTTGACTTTCCTTTGACCCTAAACCTAATCCTCTTGTATTTAAAGGCTCTAAGCCACGAAAAAACCACCAAGCTTTAGATTACTTTTGTTTTAGTTTCTTTTAATTTATTGTCTTTTACTTTTTAGAACTCTAATCCCATCTTTGTGTTCTTGAAGCTCTTGCTTCTTGAATCCTAGATCCTGGATAATCTCTTTGTATTTGCACTTGCTTATTTCAATAAAAGTTGTTTAATTTCATCTCCTCTTTCTTATGATGTCTCTTTTATTGCATTTGCTTGTGTTTACATTCATGTGTAGTGAGTAGTTACCCATTAGGGTTTGAGATGGGATAGATTAGAGGTTTCATATGCTTAATCCTTCTAGCTTATGGTCTTAATCTAGATTCTCTCTCTTTTGGATAGATCTTAAGGCTACATGACCACTACCCCTGGCTTGTAAGTCCTTAGGCGATCCCCACACGAAGTGATGGCATTCGCTGGAAAAGATCCACTAAGAGCTCCAATATCTCTTGCTCTAGACAATAGAGGTCTAAGGGGTTGGATGGATTAGTTTGGGCAATGATCCTATGGCCTCCAAGGTTTGATTCTCACTGGCTAACCCCCTGTTTCTGAGATCATTCCTTGGTTGATAGCCTCCACCTTGGGAAAGGGTTGGCTAGGCATTGAGAAGCCCAATATCAAGAGAAGCCTTGATACAAGGAGTTTTAAGAGCTAGATGATTAAGTGTAGATTCCTTTGATTGCAAAACCCTGTCTTGAACCCTAATTCTCTCTTATCTTGTTAAAGTCGTCACCTTTACTGCTTTTTGCTCAACTCGACCCTAAACTCGATCGAGCTGGTACTCTGTTCCAACTCGACTCGAGTCCTTGGTCGAGCTACTTGTTTACTGCTTTGTTTACTTTTATTGCACTGCATTTCATTTTTAGGTTGTTAGTGTTACTTCAAATCTATAACTGCTTGCTTGACTTTCTGGTTGTTTCATATTCTCATAGAGTGACAAGTTTCCCATTTTGGATTGATAACCTCTTATACTTCAATGACTATGATGGTTAAGAGGAATTGATTGATTGTGATTGCACCATTTCATCTTTATTCACCCCTGTTTGCATTCCACCTCATATCTTATCATCTTCATTCATATCATATCACACCCACGCAAAAACTTTTATCATCACTAGGGTAAGTGGGAGACCAAAATCACAGATGTGGGACCCACTCCCTTGACCAAGAAAACGGTCACAAAGTTTGAAATTTAAATTTTTTTACCTGGCTCGATTGAGTTACCTTTGTTTCTGGCTCGATCGAGTTGGCGGTCGAACTGACTTCTTTTCACTTAAACTTATCTTCCTGCAAGGGTTAAAACACGAAATACTGCAAAGAAATTGAAATAAAGACTATATACAAGGATAAACATGGAATTCGTCCCAAGTGAGCTTGTTTAAGGTCTCATAGCTTGACCTTTACTTTCTTAGGCATTGGATGAGCTAGTCCCACCATCAAGGGTGATAGTGAGGACTGATGAGAGCACCTCCTTCAGCTTGGTTGGATCCCTGGACTGCTCAGAAGTGATCAAAGCTCTAGCTCTAGAGAATGGTCTTGTTCTTCCCTTGTACCTTATCTTGTATTCAATCTTCCCATTTTCAAATTTGGAGGGAAACAAGGTCATAGTGAACTGAGATGTGAGATGAAATGGCTTGTTTGAAGAAGTATGAGCTTGAGGTTCCTTCCTTTTCTCCCCTACACGTGCCTTACAGGCTGCATCCTCCCCTTCTTTTTGAGGCCTTCCTAGTGGCTCATCAAACAAAGCTTGAAGGTTCTCCTCATCAAGTACACATGGCGCTTAAACAAGTCGATCAGCTCTTGGCTTATCAGGTCTTGGTTTCTCAAGTCTTGGTTTGTCAAGTCTTGACTCTCTCTCAACTCTTGGTTCCTTCTCAACTCTAGGTTTCTTCTCAATTCTTGGTTCCCTCTTAACCTTTTTCTTCACAACCTTGGCAGCTTCTTGACTCTTAGAATTCAGAGGTGTACTTCCAATTATGGCACAATATTCAAATCCCTTGAGTTGCAAGCGATATGACACCAAACTGTTCACTTTGTCAAGCCATCTCAGCTCACAATGACTTGTTCCCCACCAAGTTTGAAAATGGGAAGATTGAGTACAAGATAAGGTACAAGGGGAGATCAAGGCCATTCTCTAGAGCCAAGGCCTTGGTGACTTCAGAACAGTCCAGGGACCCAACCAAGCTAAAGGAGCTTCTGTCTCAAGTCCTCACTATCACCCTTGATGGTGGGACTAGCTCAACCAATGCCTAAGAGGTAAAGGTCAAGCTATGGGACCTTAAACAAGCTCACTTGGGAGGAAGTCCCATGTTTATCCTTGTACATACTCTATTTATGCAATTTCTATCTATCTTTATGTTTTAACCTTTGAATAAGTTAAGTTTAGGTGTCAAAGGAGCCAGCTCGACCGATAGCTCGATCGAGCTAGAAACCAGGGCAACTCGATCGAGCTACACAACTCGACCGAGGTAAGTTTTTGAATTTCAAATTCATAACCGTTTTCTTGGTCAAGGGAGTGGGTCCCACAAGCTGATTTTGGTCCCCCACTACCCTAATTTTGATCAGAGAATCCCTAGTTTCTTGTTCCCTCTTTATTTCATCTTTTAATCTCAACCACACATCTCAAACACCCCTCTTCCCCATAACTCGATCGAATCCACTCTCTCTCTCCCACAATCTTAAAATTTCTGAAACTCATCCTCTCTCTCTTCACCACAAGAAAATTTCGAATTTTCAATCTTTCTCTCTTAAGTTTTTGCGATTTCTCTTGTTCTTCATTGTTTTGCTTGGGTTTTTGTTTACTGCTCTTCAATTCCTCATTCAACAAGGTATGAACCCTAAAACCCTTGATTCATCCATCTCGATTTCAACTATTGCTTGTTTCTTTGATTTTTGATTGCATGTGTCCCTTGTGGACTTGTTCTTGAGTAATTGCCCTCATATTTCGCCTCTGCTGTATAGTCTTGTTAGTTTGTTTCACCTCACCTCTGTTTTGCCTTTAAACTTGTTGCATGTGCTTGAAGGATTGAATTTGAGTTTGGTTTTGGTTAAGATGATTAGTACTTCTCTATAGTTGCTCATTGTTCCATTTACTAGTTGTTCTTGGTTCAATTTGGTTGATTAGCATCTTTTCCAGCTCTTAATCTTGAATTAGGTTTGGTTATACTCTGTTTTCACCCAACTCGATCGAGTTTGTCACTCGAGTTTTTTGACTCGATCGAGCTGAGTGTCGAGTTGACCAAACCGATCATTACAACTCTAATTCTTTGTAATCTTTGATGCATTTCAGGTACTTTAGTGAAGAAACAGAGTAACAAGGATGACAAACAGTGAGGGAAGCCGCTTCACAGAGGAGAATGGTTGAGGGTGAGTCAAGCAATGCAAGAGAGAAAGGCTTAAGATGCAAGCCGATTTGGAGAAGGATGGATCAGAGGATGGAAGAATCTGATGCAGAGGATATGTCTACTCTGAGGAACAGTCTGAGAGTGAGAGGCTGAGGGAAGAAAGGAGAACCAAGAAGAGGAATGACCCTATAAGTAGTGAGAGTGAGCAAGGAGAGTTTGAGATTGGAGTGAACCTTGTTCAAGAGGAGGGAAATGGTTCTCCAAATGAGGAAGGCAGTGAGGAAACTGAGAGTGATGAGGAAGGAGAAGAGGTGAACCAATTGGTTGATGAAGATGACCAAGAGGGGAACCAAGATGAGCCAATGGAAGAGGCTGAGGAGAGCAAGAGGAGGATGAGCTCCCCATGTACCAAGAGCACTACAATGCTCTCTTCTCCATGGACTTTGTGGAGACCAAGTACCCACATGATGACACCATGAGAGATCTTGGATCTTTGAGGATGTGGAGTTGGTGCTCAAGAACATGCAATTGGGGAAGTTCTTCTCTCACCGCATGGAGTCTTACAAGGAGTTGACTTGTGAGTTTTTGGCGTCGATGAAGCATCACGAGTTTGATGAGCTCGATCGAGCTGAGTTGGACCAAGGCTGGGGGTACATAACTTTCTTGGCAAAGGGAGAGAAGAAGATGGTGACCTTTAGGCAGCTTGAGATACTGTTTGGGTTCACCTATGGAGAAGGTAACCATGGAACATCAAGGAAGAAGAACTCCAAAGAGTATGGGCTACAATAGCTGAAGAGGGGTACTCTTCCTCAAGGTCCAAGGCTGCCCAGATCAGAAGTCCTGTGCTTAGATATGTCCACAAGGCTCTTGCAAACACCTTCTTTGCAAGGAAAGCCACTGGAACAATCAATGAGGGAGAAGTGAAGCTCCTTACATGGGAATCAAGCCCATCATCTCACGCACAAGGGATGGGAAGAAGATCAGAGGAGACAGGGCACACGCAGGGAATCTCATGCCTCTCCTTGAGCAGCTCCAAGCCTACAAGGTCACAGCTTACAACACTAGGCACCAAAGAGGAAGAAAGCTTAGTGTTGGAGGGGTGATCACACCAATTCTTTGTGCAGCAGGAGTTCAAGTGGACAAGAGAAGGTCTACTCCACCAGGTTGGATGGACATCAAGTTTTGCAAGACCAACCTCCTCATTGAGCACAAGGAGTTGGATGGGAGATTCCAATTCAAGTTCACCCACCCCATTGGCTGGACTCTCCAAGCTTCTTCTGCCCAACCCTGAGCTCACCACGGTCCTAGGAGGTACAAACATTGACTTCAGACCCCCTGTGTACACTTTGGTTGGGCATGAAGCAGATTTGCAAGAAGAAGAGATGAGCTCGATCGAGCTGAGGATCGAGCTGAGCTCAAGCTGAAGATGGAGTGCAGGAAAGCGCTGATTTGGGTGAGCCTGAGTGCTATTACTTTGAGGAGTATGAGGCTCCAAGGATGAACCCCTCTGTTGTGGCTGCCACAAGAGGATTGGACTTCTCCAAAAGTTCAACAAGTGGCAAGGGAAGGCCATGGAAGATGCAAAAGTCCATGGACAAGATGGTGAGCAAGATCAAGAGTTTGGAGAAGAAAGTTTCTGGTTCTTCAAGCAAGAAGAAGAAGGCACCCAAGGCTCCCACTTCCCTAGGAGTAGGTCACTCCTCACCACTCCAAGGAGGACTCCCTGCCCAAGAGCCTCACAGAGCCTCTTCTTTCGAGCCAAGGGAAGGAGAAGACAACACGCAGAGAAGGAGGAAGACTTCCAAGGCCAGACGCTCCAGCTCGACCACCGGACTCGATCGAGTCCAAACAGAGGAAACTCAACTCGATCGAGCTGACGGTCGAGTGACCTGGAGGAGCCCCAGTTTGAGGATCCGGGATTTGAATACGATCCCATGCCTTACCAGGAGCCTCCCCGGAGTAGATGGAACCCCTATGGACAGTACGAGCTACCATGCTCCACCAAGGCCAAGGAAGCCACACACATTTCAACGATGAAGAAGAGGAGGAAGAGGAGCCGCAAGCTCGATCGAGTGAGCCGCAAGAGGCAACCCCAGTTGCATGGAGCGCTCCTGATGGCCGTCTCCCATCTCCAGACCACGACCTAGTCTCCCAGTTCTTTGGGGGACACTGAGGTATCCAAACACCAACCCTTGTATATACCATTTCATATTTTCTTGCATTTGTTCTTGTTTTTTCTTGGTTTTGCCCTCTTGAATCTTTCACTAAATTTTTCTCACACAAGGGACTGTGTGATTTAAGTTTGGGGGAGGGTTCAAGAGATGATTTAACCTTGTTTTCTTTGTTCTTAGTTTTTCATTTATCTTTTGCATAGAAAAACCAAAAAAATCATAAAATTTTCAAAAAATCCAAAAATATTTTCATCTTTTTGCATTCATATTTGTTAGACTTGTTTAGGATTGCATTTTTCACTTGCATTGTTGATTTGACTTTGAAAACTTGTCCATCTTTTGCGATTTCTTGAGTGCCCTGTTTTTAGATTCTTTTGTGCATTAGGGTGAGATTGATTGAGCAGCAAGAACCATGTTTATCTTGATCATATCACTGCATGCACATCTCATTCAACCATTGCTGTGATTTGATGCATTTCCCTATCTATTTGAACCATAACTTGATCTTTAATTACCAATGCTTGCATTTGATTTCAACTCATGGCTACCACATACATATCTGGACATTCTTTACCTATTTTCATATCCCTTTGCTTGTCCAGATAGCTGATCTCTATCTTTGAGACAGTTACCACACCTTAAACCTAAGCCTTTTTCATTTCAAACCCCATTTTATCTCTTGTGCGAATGTGAGAACCTTTCTTGGCTTTGCTTAGCATAAGGTGTTGTGTTTAAACCGGCAGGGGCAGTAGTTCTAGTTGTCTAGTTCTCTTGGGATTGTTTTCAGGCTAAGTTTGGGGGTGCCAACTCGAGCTCGATCGAGTTGGGTGTAAAAACCAGAAAAGTGGTAAAAGTTGGGAAAAACCCAAAGGAAAAAGAGTTTGGTTAAGTCCAGGGAGTTGGCAGTGTTTAAAAAGGGTCTAGTAAAGGTTTGGGAAGTTAAAAAAGGAAAGTAAAAAGGGTTCTAAGTAGAATGAAAAGAAGGCAAAGCCTCAAGTGTCAAAAAGGAAAGAAAAGTTCCCTAAGTGTTTAGAAAATCCCAAACCGCTAGATGTTACCTCAAGAAGCCTCTCCCTAGGAAGTTCTTAAAAGAAAAGTGAGCAAAGCTCCTCAGTTTCAAAGGCGAAATGCCAAAAAGGGTAGTTAGGATTTTGTTCTAAAAAGCTCTAAGTGTTGAACTCGATCGAGTTAGGATTAGGCGGCTCGAGCTGCTGTTCTTGCATCATCTTTGGTTCTAACACTTAGCCTTCTGCCAAAGCAAAGCCACTTTCTTGAGAGATCCCTGTTACTAAACCACCATACAAAAGAGACCCTCTTTGTCTCTTACCCATAAACCCTTGAAACCAAATGAGTTGATTGATCTTGCATGTTTTTGGTTCACTGTTTTTGCTTAATGAATGTTAAAGGGATTTGCTGATTTGAATGCATTGTTTGAGTGACTGTGAAGTGGGATTGATGTTGATAAGCATGGTTAAATCTTAATGAATATCTCTCACCTTGTTGCATTCTAGAATCTCTAAGTTGGACATTTAGCAAATCGCTTTTGAGGACATGTTTTTAAGTGTTGAATCAGCTATTTTCAAACCTCATCTCTTTCTTGTTCTATTTGTTTGCTTGAGGGCAAGCAAAGTTCAAGTTTGGGGGTGTTGATGTACTTGCATTTTACATAGTTTTAGCACATCTTTTATGCATCTTTTGCATAGTTTTAGCTTCCATTTGCATCATATCTTGTTCCTTTTCTCTTCTTATGCATTCATGTTAGTTTTAGGTTGCATTTGCATACATATGCATGTTTGGTCCTTTGAAATAGGTCTTTTGGAGCATTCTGGAGCATATGGGACAAGGAGCATGGAGGGACTTGGCACATGGAAGCAGCTCAACTGGATACGCAAAGGAAGAAGGGAGAAGCCATCTTGAAGACCAGCTCGACCGTCGACCAACTCGAGTTCCTCGACCGGCCAAGCTTCAACTCGATCGAGCTGGGAGAGTCAAAGTCAAACCCGAACCTCCTTTGTATTTAAAGGCTCTAAGCCACGAAAAAACCACCAAGCTTTAGATTATTTTGTTTTAGTTTCTTTTAATTTATTGTCTTTTACTTTTTAGAGATCTAATCCCATCTTTGTGTTCTTGAAGCTCTTGCTTCTTGAATCCTAGATCCTGGATAATCTCTCTTGTATTTGCACTTGCTTATTTCAATAAAAGTTGTTTAATTTCATCTCCTCTTTCTTATGATGTCTCTTTTATTGCATTTGCTTGTGTTTACATTCATGTGTAGTGAGTAGTTACCCATTGGGTTTGAGATGGGATAGATTAGAGGTTTCATATGCTTAATCCTTCTAGCTTATGGTCTTAATCTAGATTCTCTCTCTTTTGGATAGATCTTAAGGCTACATGACCACTACCCCTGGCTTGTAAGTCCTTAGGCGACTCCCCACACGAAAGTGATGGCATTCGCTGGAAAAGATCCACTAAGAGCTCCAATATCTCTTGCTCTAGACAATAGAGGTCTAAGGGGTTGGATGGATTAGTTTGGGCAATGATCCTATAGCCTCCAAGGTTTGATTCTCACTGGCTAACCCCCTGTTTCTGAGATCATTCCTTGGTTGATAGCCTCCACCTTGGGAAAGGGTTGGCTAGGCATTGAGAAGCCCAATATCAAGAGAAGCCTTGATACAAGGAGTTTTAAGAGCTAGATTGATTAAGTGTAGATTCCTTTGATTGCAAAACCCTGTCTTGAACCCTAATTCTCTCTTTATCTTGTTAAAGTCGTCACCTTTAGCTTTGTTTGTCTCAACTCGTCCCTAAACTCGATCGAGCTGGTACTTTGCTCTACTCGACTCGAGCTCTTGGTCGAGCTGACACTTCACTGCTTTGTTTACTTTTATTGCACTGCTTTTCATTTTTTTAGGTTGTTAGTGTTACTTCAAATCTATAACTGCTTGCTTGACTTTCGGTTGTTTCATATTCTCAAAGAGTGACAAGTTTCCCATTTTGGATTGATAACCTCTTATACTTCAATGACTATGATGGTTAAGAGGAATTGATTGATTGTGATTGCACCATACCATATCATCTTTATTCACCCTGTTTGCATTCCACCTCATTTCATATCACACACACACACAAATCCTATCATCAGTAGTGTGAACTTTCCTTGATCCGCCAGCTTTGGTAAGAAGGTAAGCGAGTTTAGGAGGTTGGTTTGAAGGGTAGAAAGCTCCAGAAGCTGAGACACTTTGTCCTTGTTATCAAACACATCTTGAATCAACTTCATTTGTTCAAATGCCTCATGCATACTTCTTATACTAGGAAGCTCAACTCCTATCTCATTGAGATCTCTTGTAAACTTGTGAATCACTTCCTTCTGACCTTGACTGTGTAGGTGCCCTGATGATGGGTCAACTGGCTGGTAAGGTTCAAGCAAAATCGGCGTTCGAGCAGAGACTGTCTGACTCGTTCGAGCTGATGAAGCAATCTGACTCGATCGAGCTTGTTGTGCGAGCTCAACTGGTGAAGTGTGGATAGCTATTTGAGTAGCTTGCACCTCAGGTTGAACCTACTGGACTCCATGAGCATCATCAACAACATTGTCTTCATTAGTCAGCAGCATACAAAACTCCTCAATGGCTCTTTCATTATCATCTTGTTCATGAAGTCCTTCTTCTTGAGTGAAGATCGCTTTGCAATAATCCTTAGGATTCTGAACAGCTTTTTCAGGTAGTTGTCCTTGTTTTACAGCAGCAGAAGAAGCAGCATGGTTTTCCAAGCTGTAAACTCTAGTGTTCAAGGACTCAATCTTTGAGTTAATGTCAGCCAACTTCTTGCTTGTTTCCACAACACCATCAACTTGACCTTGAAGCAACTGTTTCAACATGGCCTTTAGCTCTTGCTATTGGTTAGGCGCAGGCTAGGGTGGTTGGTTGGGAATGCCAGGTGGTATATGCATTTGCTGTCCAGGGAAAGTCCCTTGAGGTCCTTGGTAGTTGTTTTTTCGACCATACCCTTGTTGAGGAGGTTGACTCGATCGAGTTTGCTGCTGTGGAGGGTAAACTTGATCTTGAGGGTTGGCTACATCTGTGTTTCTGTAAGACATGCCTGAATTGGCTTTGTAGTTGTAATAACCTTTCTAGTAGCCACCTTGTCCATTCCTCATGTAGCAAACTTCAGCAATTTGTGTATCCTCCCCTTCTTGAACATGAACCATCTCTTCAGCAGACACAAAGTTGACCTTCTTCATTGTGGATTGAGCTAAGATAAGCTTATCCAACGTCTCATTCAGTGCTTTGACTTCCTTTCACAATTTGTCATCTGACTCGATCGGGTTGTGGGTCGAGCTCTGGTTTGTGCGGTTATACTCTTCTCCATAACTCCCATTCGAGTTTGCAATGTTTTCCACAAGATGCCAGCCGTCATCTACATCCTGATTGAGAAAGTTTCTATTGCTGGCTGTGTCTAGCATCTCTCTATATATAGGCAAACTTCCTCTATAGAGTGTAGAAAGCAAAGACTCATTGTTGAAGCCATGGTGAGGGCATTGACTGGTGTAACCCTTGAACCTTTCCCAAGCTTCAGCAAATGTCTCATTGCTTCTCTGAGTGAAGCATGAGATCTCACTCCTTAGCTTGGTTTTGCGCCCAATTGAAAAGAACTTAGCAAGAAAGGCTTTATTGCAATCATCCCATGTAGTGATTGTACCATGGGGCAGGCTATCCTCTCATTGGTGAGCCTTATCAGCAAGAGACATAGGGAAGAGTCTCAGCTTAATGGCATCTTCAGAAACGCCATTTAACTTGGTCATATCACACAACCAATCAAACTCATCAAGGTGATCTATTGGGTCTTCACTTGACAGCCCATGAAATACCTTGTTCTGCACTAGATTGATCATACCCAGCTTGATCTCAAAGTTGTGGTTCTGGACAGGAGGTGGGACAATCCCTTGTCTTTGCTGGTGGCGGTTTGGGGCATCTCCAAGTCCGATCTGTCGAGCTTGCCTAACTCGACCCTGCCCATTAGCAGGAGGGATTCCATTACCCTCTGGTATATCCATTGTATCAGTAGCAACCACATCTGACTCAGCCTGTTGCCTCTGGCTCTTCTTTCTCTGTTTTCTGCCAATGTTGATGTCTAACTCGACCAAGTCCTCAGTAGATGAGCTCGATCAAGTTTGCATACACCTGCAAAACAGTCAAAAATCCAGCAGTACAAGCAACAAATGTGGGATAGTACTTGATCGTCCAAGTGATTTGGAAACTCAAATGCAACAATAATCAAAACCAAATGGCAACGGCGCCAAATTGATGAAAGTATTTTATTGTGTGTGATGGAATGAAATATGGTATGAGATGGATGCAAGTGAAGTGGAATGTAGATGAGACGGTAAGGTGTACAGATGCAATAACAGTCAATTAATTCCTCTTTAACATCAAAGTCAGAGTAGTATAAGAGGTTATCAATCCAAATGGATATGTTGTTACTCTATAAGAATATGCAAGCACATGAAATTCAAGCCAAAGATTAAAAGGGGGAAAGTGTAACTCTAATAACCTAATATGAATGAAATGCAATGGAAAGCAGTGAATGAAAGCAGTAGATGCAAGAAACAAACAAATGCAAGAAGCTCGACCAAGAGCTCGATCGAGTAGAAATAGAGTAACTGAGCTCGATCGAGTTGGGGATCGAGTTAGCGTATAAACAGAGGAAATCGAATGGAAAACGATAAAGGTGCAAACTTTAAGCTATTAAGACGATGATTAGGGCTAAAGACAGAGTTTTGCACCTAGAGGGAGGCTATACTTAATCAACCTTGCTCTTAAACAACTTGTACTCAAGCTATCTCTTGGTATTGAACATCTTAGCCTAGCTAACTGATGATAGGATTTGTGTGTGGATGTGAAAGATATGAAATGAGATGTGGTGGAATGCAACAGTGGTATATGATGAGGTGGTAAGATGCAAACACAAACACAGTCAACAATTCCCTTTAACCATGATAGTTGTTATAGCATAAAGGGTTATCAATCCAAAATGGGAAATTGTCACTCTATGAGAATATGAAACAACAGGAAGTCAAGCAAGCAGTAATAGATTTGGTAACACTAACAACCTAAAAATGAAATGCAATGCAAAAAAAAAAAGCAGTAGAGCAACAGCTCGACCAAGGACTCGAGTCGAGTGGAACAGAGTACCGAGCTCGATCGAGTTTAGGGTCGAGTTGAGAAAAAGCAATAAAGGCAGCGACTTTAACAAGCTAAGCGAGAATTAGGGTTCAAGACAGGGTTTTGCAATCAGGAATCTACACTTAATCATCTGCTCTTAAAACTCCTTGTATCAAGGCTTCTCTTGATATTGGGCTTCTCAATGCCTAGCCAACCCTTTCCCAAGGTGAGGCTATCAACCAAGGAATGATCTCAGAAACAGGGGGTTAGCCAGTGAGAATCAAACCTTGGAGGCCATAGGATCATTGCCCAAACTAATCCATCCAACCCCTTAGACCTCTATTTCTAGAGCAAGAGATATTGGAGCTCTTAGTGGATCTTTTCCAGCGATTTCCATCACTTCCATGTGGAGAATCGCCTAAGGACTTACAAGCCAGGGGTAGTGGTCATGTAGCCTTAAGATCTATCCAAAAGAGAGAGAATCTAGATTAAGACCATAAGCAAGAAGGATTAAGCATATGAAACCTCTAATCTATCCCATCTCAAACCCTAATGGGTAACTACTCACTACACATGAATGTAAACACAAGCAAATGCAATAAAAGAACATCATAAGAAAGAGGAGATGAAATAAACAACTTTTATTGAAATAAGCAAGTGCAAATACAAAGAGATTATCCAGGATCTAGGATTCAAGAAGCAAGAGCTTCAAGAACACAAAGATGGGATTAGAGCTCTAAAAAGTAAAAGACAATAAATTAAAAGAAACTAAAACAAAAGTAATCTAAAGCTTGGTGGTTTTTTCGTGGCTTTTAGCCTTTAAATACAAGAGGATTAGGTTTAGGGTCAAAGGAAAGTCAAGGGGGAAGCAACATTTTTCGGGTTTGACTTTGACTTCTCAGCTCGATCGAGTTGAAGCTTGGCCGGTCGAGTTGAGGAACTCGACCGGTTGGTCGAGTAGGGTCGAGCTGGTCTTCAAGATGGCTTCTCCTTCTTCCTTTGCGTATCCAGTTGAGCTGCGTCCATGTGCCAAGTCCCTCCATGCTCCTCATGTCCCATATGCTCCAAAAGACCTATTTCAAAGGACCAAACATGCATATGTATGCAAATGCAACCTAAAACTACATGAATGCATAAGAAGAGAAAAGGAACAAGATATGATGCTAATGGATGCTAAAACTATGCAAAAGATGCATAAAAGATGTACTAAAACTATGTAAAATGCAAGTACATCAACACCCCCAAACTTGAACTTTGCTTGCCCTCAAGCAAACAAATAGAACAAGAAAGAGATGAGGTTTGAAAACAAGCTGATTCAACACTTAAAAACATGTCCTCAAAAGCGATTTGCTAAATGTCCAACTTAGAGATTCTAGAATGCAACAAGGTGAGAGATATTCATTAAGATTTAACCATGCTTATCAACATCAATCCCACTTCACAGTCACTCAAACAATGCATTCAAATCAGCAAATCCCTTTAACATTCATTAAGCAAAAACAGTGAACCAAAAACATGCAAGATCAATCAACTCATTTGGTTTCAAGGGTTTATGGGTTAAGAGACAAAGAGGGTCTCTTTTGTATGGTGGTTTAGTAACAGGGATCTCTCAAGAAAGTGGCTTTGCTTTGGCAGAAGGCTAAGTGTTAGAACCAAAGATGATGCAAGAACAGCAGCTCGAGCCGTCTAATCCTAACTCGATCGAGTTCAACACTTAGAGCTTTTTAGAACAAAATCCTAACTACCCTTTTTGGCATTTCGCCTTTGAAACTGAGGAGCTTTGCTCACTTTTCTTTTAAGAACTTCCTAGGGAGAGGCTTCTTGAGGTAACATCTAGCGGTTTGGGATTTTCTAAACACTTAGGGAACTTTTCTTTCTTTTTGACACTTGAGGCTTTGCCTTCTTTTCATTCTACTTAGAACCCTTTTTACTTCCTTTTTTAACTTCCCAAACCTTTACTAGACCCTTTTTAACACTGCCAACTCCCTGGACTTAACTAAACTCTTTTTCCTTTGGATTTTCCCAACTTTTACCACTTTTCTGGTTTTTACACCCAACTCGATCGAGCTCGAGTTGGCACCCCCAAACTTAGCCTGAAAACAATCCCAAGAGAACTAGACAACTAGAACTACTGCCCCTGCCGGTTTAAACACAACACCTTATGCTAAGCAAAGCCAAGAAAGGTTCTCACATTCGCACAAGAGATAATAAGGGGTTTGAAATGAAAAGGCTTAGGTTTAAGGTGTGGTAACTGTCTCAAAGATAGAGATCAGCTATCTGGACAAGCAAAGGGATATGAAAATAGGTAAAGAATGTCCAGATATGTATGTGGTAGCCATGAGTTGAAATCAAATGCAAGCATTGGTAATTAAAGATCAAGTTATGGTTCAAATAGATAGGGAAATGCATCAAATCACAGCAATGGTTGAATGAGATGTGCATGCAGTGATATGATCAAGATAAACATGGTTCTTGCTGCTCAATCAATCTCACCCTAATGCACAAAAGAATCTAAAAACAGGGCACTCAAGAAATCGCAAATGATGAACAAGTTTTCAAAGTCAAATCAACAATGCAAGTGAAAATGCAATCCTAAACAATCTAACAAATATGAATGCAAAAAGATGAAAATATTTTTGGATTTTTTGAAAATTTTATGATTTTTTTGGTTTTTCTATGCAAAAGATAAATGAAAAACTAAGAACAAAGAAAACAAGGTTAAATCATCTCTTGAACCCTCCCCCAAACTTAAATCACACAGTCCCTTGTGTGAGAAATTTAGTGAAAGATTCAAGAGGGCAAAACCAAGAAAAAAAAAACAAATGCAAGAAAATATGAAATGGTATATACAAGGGTTGGTGTTTGGATACCTCAGTGCCCCCCAAAGAACTGGGAGGCAAGGTCGTGGTCTGGAGAGGGCAGACGGCCATCAGGACGCTCCACTCGACTGGGTTCACCTCGCTCGATCGAGCTTGCGGCTCCTCTTCTTCCTCTTCTTCATCTGAAGTGGTGTGGCTCCCTTGGCCTTGGTGGAGCTGGCTAGCTCGAACTGCGTAGGGGTCCATGCTCTGGGAAGTCCTGGTAAGCGTGGATCGTACTCGAATCCAGGGTTCTCAATGGGCTCCTCCAAGACCAGCTCGACGAGTTGAGTTTCCTCTGTTTGGACTCGATCGAGTCCGGTGGTCGAGCTGGAGCGTCTGGCCTTGGAACTCTTCCTCCTTCTCTGCGTGTTGTCTTCTCCTTCCCTTGGCTCGAATGAAGAGGCTCTGTGAGGCTCTTGGGCAGGGAGCCTCCTTGGGGTGGTGAGGAGTGACTACTCCTAGGGAATGTGGGGGCCATGGTTCCTTCTTCTTCTTGATGAAGAACCAGAAACCTTCTTCTCCAAACTTTGATCTTGCTCACCATCTTGTCCATGGACTTTTGCATCTTTCAATGGCTTTCCCTTGCCATTTGTTGAACTTTTGGAGAAGTCCAATCCTCTTGTGGCAGCCACAACAGAGGGGTTCATCCTTGGAGCCTCATACTCCTCAAAGTAATAGCACTCAGGCTCACCCAAATCCGCACTCTCCTGGGCTCGATCCTCAGCTCGATCGAGTTCAGGCTCCTCTTCTCGCAAATCTCCTCATGCCCAACTAGTCACCTGGTCTTGCCTTAGAGGCTACAACTAATCGTTGGATCCTTTCTTTTATCACCTGGTCTTGCCTTAGAGGCTACATCCTCCCCTTCTTTTAGAGCCCTTCCTAGTGGCTCATTAAACAAAGCTTGAAGGCTCTCTTCATCAAGCACACAAGGGGCTTGAACAAGTCTATCAGCTCGTGGTCTATCAGAACGTGGTTTCTCAACTCTAGCCCTCTCAAGACGTGGCTTCTCAATCCTTGGTCCTCTCTCAACCTTATCCTTCCCAACTCTTGGTTCTTTGTCAACTCTTTCCTTCACAATCTTTGTAGCTTCATGAGTCTTAGAATTGAGAGTGGTACTGTCAATTGTGGCACAAAAGTCTGAACCTCTTGGCTGCAAGCGATATGACACCAAACTATTCACTTTGTGAAGGATCACTTCTTGCTTGTGAAAGTCTATTGAAGCGCCAACTGTACTAAGGAATGGGGTTCCCAATAACAGAGGTAGATCCTTCTCTTCTTCCATCTCCATCACAGTAAGATCAGTTTGGATGATGCATTCTCCAATTTTCAAGTGATAGTTCTTGAACACTCCAAGAGGAGACTTAGAAGTTGCATCTCCAAACATGATTGAAGTTGTAGGGTGCTGCAAGGCTCCAGCAATGCCTAGCTTCTCTGCAAGACTTAGGATTTTACGTGGATGAAGTGATATGAATGAAGGATGATAAAATATGAGGTGGAATGCAAACAGGGGTGAATAAAGATGCAATGGTATGGTGCAATCACAATCAATCAATTCCTCTTAACCATCATAGTCATTGAAGTATAAGAGGTTATCAATCCAAAATGGGAAACTTGTCACTCTTTGAGAATATGAAACAACAGGAAGTCAAGCAAGCAGTTATAGATTTGAAGTAACACTAACAACCTAAATAAAATGAAAAGCAGTGCAATAAAAGTAAACAAAGCAGTGAAGTGTCAGCTCGACCAAGAGCTCGAGTCGAGTCAGAGCAAAGTACCAGCTCGATCGAGTTTAGGGACGAGTTGAGACAAACAAAGCTAAAGGTGACGACTTTAACAAGATAAAGAGAGAATTAGGGTTCAAGACAGGGTTTTGCAATCAAAGGAATCTACACTTAATCAATCTAGCTCTTAAAACTCCTTGTATCAAGGCTTCTCTTGATATTGGGCTTCTCAATGCCTAGCCAACCCTTTCCCAAGGTGGAGGCTATCAACCAAGGAATGATCTCAGAAACAGGGGGTTAGCCAGTGAGAATCAAACCTTGGAGGCTATAGGATCATTGCCCAAACTAATCCATCCAACCCCTTAGATGTAAGTGACAATCCTTTCCATACAGTAAGTTGAAAGGGGACCTTCCAATGGGGGTTTTGTAAGCTGTTCTATAGGCCCAAAGAGCTTCATCAAGTCTTGCTGCCCAATCCTTCCTAGTAAGCTCACTGTCTTCTCAAGAATGGCCTTTATCTGTCTATTGGAGACCTCAACTTGCCCACTGGTTTGAGGATGGTAAGGTGTAGCGACCTTGTGCTTGACTCCATAACTCTTCATCAACTTCTCAAACACTTTTTGATGAAATGGGAGCCTCCATCCGAAATAACAACCCTTGGGATGCCATATCTTGGAAAGATGATGGTTCTGAACAATTTGATAACAACCTTAGCATCACAGGTTGGGCAGGGGATGGCTTCAATCCATTTGGACACATAGTCACAGCAACCAGAATGTAGTTGTGCCCGTTTGAGGAAGGCTTGAAAGGTCCCATGAAGTCTATTCCCCATACATCAAAGATCTCAACTTCCAGAATTGGGTTTAGTGGCATTTCATCTCTCTTGGTGATACTTCCTTTCCTTTGGCATGGATCACACTTGCGATGTAGCTTGCTGCATCTTTAAACAAGGTAGGCCACCACAACCCAGATTGCAGAACCTTAGTTGCTGTTTTGAATGTAGCAAAGTGACCTCCATAAGCTGACCCATGGCAATGCTCTAGAACTCCTTGCACATCCTCTTCAGCTATGCATCTCCTGTAAATGCTGTCTGGTCCTCTCTTGTACAAGTAGGGCTCATCCCAATAGTAATGCCTAGCATCCTTGAAGAATTTCTTCCTCTTGTAAGCATCAAAGCTACTAGGGACTTCTCCGGACACCATGAAGTTCACTATATCAGCATACCATGGCAAATTCTCATCACGCAGAGCCTTAACTTCTTCCAGCCTGCTTTCTCATCAAAACTCTCCTTCAAGATCATGATTGCCATAAGCTGTTCTTCAGGCATAGAATCATTGATGGGGATCATGTCTTCAACTCGCATCCTAGAGAGATGATCAGCAACTCCATTTTCTACTCCCTTTTTGTCCACAACTTCTATATCAAACTCTTGAAGCAAAAGGATCCATCTGAGAAGTCTTGGCTTTGTATCTTTCTTAGCGAAGATGTGTCTAAGGGCAGCATGGTCAGTGTGCACAATCACCTTGGATCCAACTATATAGCTTCGAAACTTTCTCAAAGGCAAAGACTATGGCAAGGAGTTCCTTCTCTGTGGTTGCATACTTGCACTGAGCATCATCCATAGTCTTGCTTGCATAGTAGATGACATTGAGTTTCTTGTCTATCTTTTGGCCAAGCACTGCTCCTACTGCATAGTCAGATGCATCACACATAATCTCAAATGGGTGATCCCAGTTTGGAGCTTGACTATTGGCGCAGATACCAGAGCATCCTTCAGCAAGGTCCAAGACTTGTGGCATTCTTCATCAAACTCAAAATCTGTCTCCTTGCACAGAAGCCTTGTCAAGGGTCTTGCTATCTTTGAGAAATCCTTGATGAATCTTCTGTAGAACCCTGCATGACCCAGAAAACTCCTTATGTCCTTCACAGTCTTGGGAACAGGGAGCTGCAACATGACATCCACCTTAGCTCGATCGAGCTCGATCCCTTTCTCGGAAATCTTGTGTCCAAGCACAATCCCTTCTCGAACCATGAAGTGGCACTTCTCCCAGTTGAGTACTAGATTGGTCTCCTCACACCTCTGCAACACCCTGCACAAGTTAGACAAACATGAGGAGAAGGATGCTCCATAGACTGAGAAATCGTCCATGAAGACTTCTACCATCTCCTCTATCAGATCTGAAAAAATGGAGGTCATGCACCTCTGGAAAGTAGCTGGAGCATTGCACAGCCCAAATGGCATCCTTCGATAAGCAAAGGTGCCATAAGGGCATGTGAAAGTGGTCTTCTCCTGATCATTAGGGTGGATCGGGATTTGGAAGAAACCACTGTAGCCATCAAGAAAACAATAAAAAGGGTGGTTTGCCAATCTTTCTAACATCTGATCAATGAAAGGGAGAGGGAAATGATCCTTTCTAGATGCTGAATTTAGCTTCCTATAGTCAATACACATGCGATGCCCCACTATTGTTCTAGTGGGAATCAGCTCCTCTTTGTCGTTTTTAATGACAGTGATCCCCCCTTTCTTTGGGACGCAATGAACTGGAGATATCCAAGTGCTATCACTGATGGGATAGATTATCCCAGCATCAAGCAACTTGAGTATCTCTTTCTTCACTACTTCCTTTAGATTGGGGTTCAATCTTCTCTGAGGTTCAATGCTTGACTTACTTTCATCCTCTAGATGAATCCTATGGATGCATAGGTCAGGGGAGATCCCCTTGATATCATCTAGAGTGTAACCTATTGCCTTTCTGTACTTCCTCAATTCAACAAGCAAAGCACTCAACTGTTCAGGTTCCAAATCAGAGTTCACAATGACAGGGTAAGTTGAGTTTTCACCCAGAAATGCATACCTGAGGCCCTCAGGCAAAGGTTTGAGGTCGACTTTAGGCGCCTTGAGCTCAGACCAATCTCCTTGAGCTTGCTCCTTGCATTCAGTCCCAGCTCGATCGAGTTCGTTTGTTCGAAACTCGACTCGATCGAGTTCTTGATCGAGCTCACTGCCATGACTTCGCAAACTGGCCTGTCCAATCCCTCAATGCTCAGAATGTTTGGAACTGGTCTGAAGGTGTCAAGGAGCTTCTTGTACTCATCAGTTTCTGAGCTCACATATCCCTCTGAAGAATCCTTGGTCAAAGCAACTTGTAGGGATCCTCTGTTGATAACTCTTCTAGAAGCTCATCTGCCAACTGATCCATTTCCTCAACATAAAAGAGCTGACCTTCTATAGTTGGTTTCCTCATTGTATCCTTGATATCAAACTTCATCTTAGGTCCTTTCCCAAGTTTAGCTCAATTGTTCCTTCACAGACATCTATCATTGCTCTTGCTGTAGCTAGGAATGGCCTTCCTAGAATCAATGGATCTGTTGGTTCCTCATCCATCTCAAGCACAATGAAGTCTGTGGGGATTTCCACATTCCCTATCCTCAAAGGCAGGTCTTCAAGCATCCCAGTTGGTAACCTTATCGATCTATCTGCCAAGACTAGTGAGATTCCGCAGGCTTGGTACTTGTGATATCCCAGTCTCTTTGCTACAGACAAAGGCATGAGGCTGACAGATGATCCTAGATCGCAGAGACTGTTTTTGAAAGATAGGGGTCCCAACATGCAGGGCAAAGTGAAACTCCCCGGATCTTCCTTTTTGTCGGAGATGACCTTCCGCTGAATGATTGCACTGCACTCGCGAGTCAACACTACCATCCCTTGTGCTTCCCTGGTTCTTTGCTGAACAGCATCCTTCAGAAATTTCTGATAAGGTGGAATGAGCATCAAGGCGTCGATGAAGGGCAACTTCAACTCAAGCTGTCTCATTAGTTCATCAAACTTGGCCTTGTGTGCTTCCAACAGTTGTTTCTTGAACCTTCCTGGAAAGGGTAGAGGGGGTTTGTATGGTGGTGGTCCTGCTGGAGTGTCTTTCTTCTTTGCAACAGGTTTAGCTGGTTGGCTGGAGTTTGCTTTGTCTGTTCTCTTCTGAGCTCGATCGAGCTCTGGTTTGTCTTGCAGTGTCTCAGTTTCTCCAGCTCGATCGAGTTCTGGTTCAGGGTTTTGTTCCAGCTCGATCGAGTTCGGGTCGAGTTATCAGCATAGTCGACTAAATCCTCCCCTTCCTCGTCATCGATGTCCACAGCGATTTGGGGTGGGCTACCTCTACTTGGGAATTGCCTCCCACTTCTTAGTGTAACTGCTTGGGCATACTCTTGTGGTGAAGAGGATGATGCACTTGAAGACTCAATGATTTGGACTCTTGAAGTCAATGACTCTAGTTTAGAGTGTATCTCAACCAGCTTGTTGTTCATTTCCAGAGAACCTTTGGCTTGCCCTTGTAAAAGTTGTTGGAGCATTTCCTTCATATCCCAATCTTGAGTTGGTTGGGTATGAGTAGTCCTTGGTTGAAGCCTTGTGGAACACTTTGTTGTTGGTGCGGCCAGGGGGCTTGATAATTGTTGTATCTCCCTTGTTGAGGATTCCTATAGCTTCCTTGTCTATTTTGAATGTAGCAAACTTCTTGTGTTGTCTCCTCCCCTTCCTGGTCCTTGACTAAGGTTTGTTCTGAGACATAGTTGACATGCTTGGCAGGGAATTGGGCTAGGATCAGTTTGTCCAACTTCGAGTTGAGTGCAAGCATGTCTTTTCTCATCTGAGCGTCCAGCTCGATCGAGTGCGCGGTCGAGCTCCAGTCTGTACTTTCATACTGCTCTCCATAGCATTCTGTTGATATGGCCATGTTCTCCACAAGTTGCCAGCCATCATCTACATCCTGGTTGAGGAAGTTCCCATTGCTAGCTGTGTCTAGCATCTCCCTATACCTAGGCAAGCATCCTCTATAAAGAGTGGAGAGTAGTGATTCATTGTTGAATCCATGGTGTGGGCACTGACTTGTGTAGCCTTTGAACCTCTCCCAAGCCTCTGCGAATGTCTCATTGTTTCGCTGGATGAAGCTGGATATCTCTCCTCTAAGCTTGGCTGTGCGACCGGTGGAGAAAAACTTAGCAAGAAAGGCCTTCTTGCATTCATCCCAAGTGGTGATTGTGCCATGGGGCAAGCTCTTCTCCCATTGGTGAGCTTTGTCAGCTAGAGACATAGGAAAGAGTCTCAGCTTGATGGCATCTTCAGAGACACCATTGATCTTTGTCAAATCACAAAGCCTATCAAACTCATCAAGGTGGTCAATGGGGTCTTCACTTGGCAATCCATGGAACATCTTGTTCTGGACAAGGTTGATCATTCCCAGCTTGATCTCAAAGTTGTGGTTCTGCACTGGTGGTGGAACAATCCCTTGTCTCTGTTGGTGGCGGTTTGGAGCATCTCCTTGACCAATCGGTCGAGTTTGCCTAGCTCGACCGAGTCCATTCCCAAAGGGTTTCCATTCCCCTCTGGTACATCCATTGTATCAGCAACAAGCACCTCAGGTTCCTCTTGTACCCTCTGTGACCTCTGAACCCTCTTTCTACCCGTTGTAATGTCTAGCTCGACCAAGTCCTCAGTAGACCGACTCGATCGAGTTCGCATACACCTGCAAAAAGAGACAAAAACCCAGCAGTACAATAGAACAGGGGTGGTATAGCTTGATCGTCCAAGTGTGTTTGAAACTCAAATGCAACAAAAATATTCCCAAATCGGCAACGGCGCCAAATTGATGATAGGATTTGTGTGTGTGTGAATGAAGATATGAAATGAGAGTGGAATGCAAACAGTGGTAATATGATGAGGTGGTAAGATGCAATCACAATCAATCAACAATTCCTCTTAACCATCATAGTCATTGAAGTATAAGAGGTTATCAATCCAAAATGGGAAACTTGTCACTCTATGAGAATATGAAACAACCAGGAAGTCAAGCAAGCAGTATAGATTTGAAGTAACACTAACAACCTAAATAAAATGAAAAGCAGTGCAATAAAAGTAAACAAAGCAGTGAAGTGTCAGCTCGACCAAGACTCGAGTCGAGTCAGAGCAAAGTACCAGCTCGATCGAGTTTAGGGACGAGTTGAGACAAACAAAGCTAAAGGTGACGACTTTAACAAGATAAAGAGAGAATTAGGGTTCAAGACAGGGTTTTGCAATCAAAGGAATCTACACTTAATCAATCTAGCTCTTAAAACTCCTTGTATCAAGGCTTCTCTTGATATTGGGCTTCAATATGGCTTCTCCCTTCTTCCTTTGTGTGTCCAGTTGAGCTGCTTCCATGCGCCAAGTCCCTCCATGCTCCTTATGCTCCAAATGCTCCAGAATGCTCCAAAAGACCTATTTCAAAGGACCAAACATGCATATGTATGCAAATCCAACCTAGAACTAACATGAATACATAAGAAGAGAAAAGGAACAAGATATGATACAAATGGAAGCTAAAACTATGCAAAAGATGCATAAAAGATGTGCTAAAACTATGTAAAATGCAAGTACATCATCTTCCCCTCTCTCATCAACTGTTACCAAAGTCTATCTTACTATTCAAACCCATCACAGCTAGGCGCCTCCCCAAAACACACATGTTAACGTTGTTTTACTCATTATCATTCTTTTCAATTTTATTATTTTATAACCGACACCACTTTCTCGATTATCTTTCACCCATTTAATTGCCTCCAGTAAATGTACACATCCTCCTCTTCAAAGCCATCTGAAACTCTACAACATAATTATACCTTTAAATACACAGGTCTCTATCTCTCACACTCATAAATGTTTTTATGGATTTACCGATGCAAGAAACAGGTGCTAAGGTCGTGTTTGAGACCTTGCGTATAGGAGAAACCGCCCAGCAAGTACTTGTGCATCAACTGCGTTATTGGGGAGTCTTCAGCGTCAACAACCCTTCATACCTTTAGGGCTTTGTTCTTCTAATGGTCGATGAGAAGGTACTTACTTCCACTTTTTCCCAAATATTCCCTTTCACAAAGTTTTAAGGACGATAGCTTACTAACTTAATCTTCATAACTAGGACGCCTTGCTCCACGCCTTTGTTCCACCGCCCCTGCATCACACCCACAACCATGTCTTACGTGAAGGATAGATTTACAAGCTCGCGGGCTTCGAAGTCCACAAGTGCACCAAACTCTACAGAATAACATCCATGCCTCTGGTTATCACATTCACTCCTTCAACCAACTTCACTCGCGTCCACAATCCCTTCATCAACATCACCAATGATATATATGCGATAAGTGGCTATGATCATTTAATTGGACAGGCAAACACAAACATTCTTCTGCCAGGTAATAACTCCCAGTTTGCATTGCTTGGCCTCTACATACATCTATCACCTACAACTTTTGCTAACTAATCTTATTACATGATGAATCTCATTACATGACGACGATAATTTTTTGGTAGACATTGTCGGCACAGTATGTTCTGTGGAAGGTCGAAATCTTCATGACACCAATTCCAATGAGCGGATCTAAGTCCTTATACGACTACAAATGTAAGCTACAGTTACTTTCAATATATGAAACTCGATTTCCTGCTTCAAAAACTCACCCATATCTTATATTTTTATCTCAGTGATGTCATTATCCCCCTTTATGACAATATCACCGCCTCTTTCCACAACATGCTTCATCCACCGAACAGTGTTAGGCCAGTTGTTTTAGCCACATCTGTAAATTCCACATTGGTTGGAGGTAATTAAAATAGTAACGCATATAATAGTTCGCTGCATACCAACACTTTTGTTGTTTAACATTTACCTGTTACTCCTTTCCTTTGTTAATGAAAGCAGGGGCACTTCAGTTGGACTTAACACACGCAACATGGTTCTTCTTTGACACAGACATCCCCCCAATCCAGGCCTTCTTGCAGAGGTAAAATTTTTGTACCCGGCCTCTCCCACCTAACTTTATTTACCCAAGTGATCAAACACACCACCTTCTTTGGCCATAGTTGTGGAGTCTACGAAACACCGTGTTTGACAAAAGACACATCAATGTGTGTTACGAAAATGGAAAGTGTTTCCATTCACGAGTTTTACTAGTTTGCTCTAGCGGAAAAACACATGGTATATTGTACTCATTGTCAAACCAACTTACGTTAACTTTGTCATCTTTCTTCCTATTTAACTCTATTATCCATCCTATTTTCAGGACGAAGATTTCATTTGCGAGGCACTAATTCTTGAAGTCAAAACATCGAAGCATTAGGGTTATATAAAGTGTATAGCTTACTCTTCTAAAATATCACAAACATATTCTCCCCTTGTTTGTCACAGTTGCAGGAATATCAACTTATTAGGCAACGACAGGTATAGAGCCAGCATTGAGCAAAATCATAAACAGACTTACATTTATTTCTTTACATGGTTATGTTCAGTTTTTTAGCAGGTTTCATGTCGCCTTCAGCGTCGAGGATTTGGATTCTGCTGCAACTTTTGTTATGCATGGGCATGCAATCACGAATTACGCACCCTCGGTAAGTATCCAAGGAACATTTGAGGAGGTATATTCTGTTACGACCGATTATTGAAACACCTCATAGTATACAATGACAACTTTAATCTAATGCGTTCACTTGAATTCATATATACGGTAATGAGTTTCAGGAAATTGCGGCTGCTGGACTTACATGGGCCACATACCTGGAGGAGTTGGTAGGCAATCAATATCTCTTCCATATCCAAATCAGTGACCGATGATTTCTGTGGACCAAATCGTTACTTCACCATTGAGAAATTTGTCTTCTACAAAAGAGGAACACGGGTAAGCTTCGGAGCTATGATGTGAGTCAGGTTTTACCAAACTCTTTAGACCTCTGCAAATGCACAAATCGTAGAAGTATGGGTATCAAACACAAGGACTGGCTGTTGAGTACAATTTGAAAATATGGATTTTGGATCAAGCTAAAACGACATAATTGATTGTGAGGTTGTAATGGTGATTAAATTAAAGCAAGTAAAGATATTGTATATTCAATGGGAGGAAAACGCTAGGTCAACAGGGGCTAGTCACAGAGAAGCAAACAATGATCACTGACTAAATGATAGATGATATGATTTAGGGATATTGGGATAATAAAACCGTCTATAACACAGATCATGAATGTAAAACCTTTCCACTTTCGTGGCTCCGACTCCTATGATAACCTATCTAATCGCTAAACTTTTGGTATGTCCTTAGATGATTATTCAACCATTATATCGAGCGGGTTCCGATTCAGTTCACTAGGTTAAGTAACTTAACTATCGCAGTCTAAGAAACCTAGCTTGTCAAAGAATATGTCCGGCGAATGATACAGCACTGTTGTGGCTCAAATAAACCTAAGATCGCATTACTAGATGTGCGGTAAAGTACAACATTAATTAAGTGAACAAGATAAGACAAAGACTTTAAAGTAATCCCTAGCTAATCATCGAAATCATAGATCATGTTATTTTTCAGGATGGGAGAGAGAGGAGAACTGCCCTTAAGATTAGACATATCTCATCAAAAATCAAGTAAGGAACTGTCCATATGTATGCCAATCCCCTTGACAAGAATTTTAAGATTGATTAAGGGTGAGGTTAACTTTAGATTGCTTGGTTACCTTAGAAATTTTGCTGAGCTAGAATGTTGATCCACTGTTGGGGCTTATGTTAGGCTTGTACCTTTAGCTGATGTTTGCTCTAGGGTCGTAGATTGTTAGCACAACACTGTCAAACTCAAAGCAAGTTCACAATTTCCGGACTAGGTTTTGACTCAATAAAACAGGAAAACATGAAATAAAACATAAGAAAAGAAAGAAAAATGCATTAGTACACAATAAAACTCCCCCCAGATTTAACTTGCACCGTCCCGGTGAAAGTTAACAACATTAAGGGTGAGAGGTGATACTCAAAATAAAATAAAAGAAAATGAAATTCATTAAAACGAGATAGGGATAGAAAATGGAGATTTGTAAGTGTCTATTGCACTAGATACCACTGAGATTACTAGGTGTTGTGGTGAGAAGAACTCTCCTCCTCTTCTGTGGATTCGTTTCTGTCTTAACCAAGCTCTGATGTGAGTGAGAACTAGCCAAGATCAGGCTCATATGGCTCTCTAGCAGTGAGAGAAAGGCGAAAGAGTCTCTCTGGTGCAATGTGGCGAACGACGTGGACTAGACGCGAGATAAAACGTGACTGGCACTCCACAACCTTCTCCAGTTGGTTCGCTGCCATTCCAATGCTGAGAACATGGCGTTCTTGGTGGCGGCGTAAGCCTTGACTGTGCGCTGAAGTGTGTGATAATGGTGGAAGGGGAGTGATGGCTTCTCTCGTGATGGAACATAGAAGTCTTTCTCCTTAGGTTGGAAAGTGACAAGCGATGTATTGGCTGAACCAACTGGAAACTCATAGCAAAATTTAGTTGGGTTTTGAGTCTAACAGTTCAGGAAGTGGACTTGCTTAACGGCATGGAGATCCAATAGGGCAGCTTTGGGAAGAGGCTCATAATTGGGAATGTTAATTCCCACATGTTGAACTATGGCTTTGATGAGTCTCCCAAATCGCACACAAAGCTTCTTGTTGCTTGCTAGGTCTTGAGCCAAGTGCCTAACATTGATAAGTGTCTTTACAAACAAAAGACCAAGATTAGCATGATTTTGATGCTTGATGAAAGGTGTGGTGAGGATGTAGAACTCATCAGTTGAGAATTTGTTGGCTTCTTACTTGCATTGAAAGGTGCTTGAGATGAGGCGGTGCACATAGCGAATTGCTGGATGGGTGATCCTAGACAACTTGGACCTTGAAGGTAGGAATGGGCTTTTTTCCTAGTTGAGTTCTCCTTGAAGTCATGGGCTGCCTCATTGGGGAAGCCAAAGAGTTTGCATAGAGCTGTGATCAAAATGTGCCCCTTTTGGTCGTCTATCTTGAATAGTAAGAGTCAATTACCAGCTGGTTGGTCTCCATTGTTGTTTGGGAAAGCTAGGGCGACTGTGAGGAACTCTCTAGTAAGCTGTGGATATTCGCTGCACTCTATCTTGAAGAGCTTGGTCAAGCTAAGCTTCCTTATATACCATGTGACATTATCTCTTATGTTGAGAAGATCAAGAGTTGAAGTGTCCATCTTCACACAAGGTTCAATGTTCACTCTCTTCATAGCTTCCTCATATTACCTTGGGTCTTGGACTGGTTCTCCAACAAAGTTAACAAGCGCCCAATCGTCTTCTCCTCTTCGGCTCTCCACTTGCCTTTGATTTGTGTTAGTGGGCGGTGGTGGAGTTGGCATTGCTGCTCTTGATTTGGTGTGGTTTTCTCCTAGTTTAATTTGTTTCCTCGGTGATTGCATAGATGAGTCTCTCTTCTTCATGGCTTCACCTTCTTTAGTTTTTGCCATTGGGTACCTACAAGGGCAAATTCTTGGGAAGAGACATGAGTTTGTGATTCAATTCCTAATGAAAGACAAGAAATTTGAGATGTAGTAATGATATGTTTAAACAAATTGAGAAATTTCCTTTTCAAATTTTAAAATTTTGGATTTTACTATTCATCCTAAGATTATTGTGCATAAAATCGAAGTTTTTAGCAAATGAAAGGCAATTAAGTTTCTAATCATGAATTCAAAAGATAAACTAGTGAATTGAGGAATGACCAAATCCATTTCACCTTTAGTCAAGCGTTTGGAATACCCAAAAGTTTTGTGAAAAAACTATTCAGTTGTGAAATTTAACTCAAAAATTCTCTAAACCACCTAGGTTCCACCTAGCTAAGCTCAAACAAGATTCATAAGGATGAGAATTTCGAGTTTAGACAAGAATCTAAGTCAAACAAGAGATTATTAAGAAATTCGAACTTGCAAAATAAAGAGGTTTAGAGTTGGAAGACATACCTTGTGCTTTGAAAAGTGAAAAGACAAGAAAGAGCAAGCAAATCCCAAGTTATGGATTAAGAACAGTAAAAGTTTTGAAAGATAAGCTTTTAAGATCTCCTCTAATGGAGTTTAGGGTTTTTTTGAGAAGAAAGAGGGGTTTTTCTTTTTGAAGAAGAAGGTAAAATATTAAATTGAAGTTCAAAATCCAATTAGAAATCCTTTTCAAATTCGAATTTGGTTAGAAAATTGGTTTAAATTGGTTAAAACCAGTTTGAATCAAGTGAAAAGGGTTTACTTATCTTGGCTGAGAGATTTTTTGGTCGAGGGATTTTCGTCCCGATCGTTCGGCACGGTCGGCCGGATTCTTGGTCGAACATAGAATTTGGTCGAGCGAAGCCGATTGCTTCCCGGATCAACCGGTACGGTCGGTCCGTTCACGTTTTACGAACATCTGCCTCATCTATCGGTATCTGATGATAACCCGATGCCAAGTCTATCTTGGAGAACCAAGTAGCACCCCTCAACTGATCCAACAATTCATCAATCCTCAAGAGAGGGTAACTGTTCTTCAGAGTAACTCGGTTAAGTCGCCGGTAATTGATGCTCATCCGAAAACTCCCATCCTTCTTCTTCTTCATAAACACCATTGGCGCTCCCCACGGCAAAACACTCGGCCGAATAAAACCTTTACTCAAAAGGTCCTCTATCTGCTTCTTCGGATCTGTTAACTCTGCTGGAGGCGTCTTAGATATCGGTGATGTCCCCAGATCTAGCTCAATCGTGAAAGGATTTGACCGAGATGGTGGTAATCCCTTCAGAAACTGAAACATATCCTCGCACTACAAGAAAATGGTGTAAAGATAGCATAAGAACATAGCGTTTTTAATTGGAATGCTATCTTTGACATAACCCTTTGTTTAAGACAGTGTTTCTGTATGTGGCTACGCTATGTTTTTGTTTTGGGTTAAAAAAAAGCTTTGTTTTAAAAGAAAACCGTATTAAAAGCGCTATCTTTAGTATTGGCGGAAATTTTTCATCACTTTTCCCGGCTAAAGTACTTAAGAAAAAAAACTGAAAAAAAAAACTAAATTTTCATCACTTTTCCCAAGTTTCTTTTGTGTCTCTGAAATCGTCGGCAGCTCTAATCTGTTTCCCTCAGACAGCGACAAATTAATTCGATCTAAGATCCCCAGTTTTCGATCTCCTAAGCTAACAGCTTCCATCTTCCTTTCTCCAGTATCTATTTCTCTCATCGAGTAGGTTATTATCACGCGGCGTCGGCGTCGTCACTGTCGATTCCGATTGAAGGTAAAAGTTTCATCAGAAATCGAGAGTCATATCGATTTAGAGTGTGGAGATGATTAATTTTGATTTGTTTCCACGACATTGTGTTTTCGGCAGTCTAATTCTCGGGAGCTCGAGCTCTAATTGTAACCTAAGGTATGTGACATTTTGTGGTTTTGGACATGCAAATTATGGGGATCTCGATGTTTTTGTTCACTAATTATGTATTTTCGGACAGGTTTCACAGTCCAATTTCGGTGTTTGATTCGATCCAAGGTATTTGTAATTTGTAGGGTTTTCTCTTGTAGCTTGGAGTTTCAAGTTATTGTTGATGGATTTAGTTTTCTTTGTCTTTGCATGTCTTTCGCAGGATCTCTTTAACAAGATCTTCATTATCTTCAGGTAATTTACTCCCTCCTCAAATTCTTCATTTTCAGTAATTATTCATTGGAGATTGTCTGATGTTTGAAAACATTTATCCCAAAAATATGTATTCCTTTGACCGTGGAGCTTTGGTGTGACATGGATAAGTCTTGGGTTTGGCTTCCAAGGTAAAGTTTACAATTACATTTTTCGATTCCTTTACTTGAAACTGAGTCTTGTATGATTAACTTTATTATGAGTCTTGTCTGAAAACCATTCTTAGTATTTTGCAGGACTAGCCTTGAGTATGAGCAGGGAGCCACAGATTTTGTTTATGGATCTTCTTGGAGGTTAGGTGATCCTCCAAACATGTTTTGTCCATGCCTGGATTGCCGAAATCTGTGTCACCAACCTATAGCAACAATTCTGGATCATCTGGTTATTAGAGGTATGGATCAGAAGTACAAACGGAATAGATGCTGGACTAAGCATGGAGAGAAAAGAGATTTGAATGTAGGCGAGGAACAGACTTCTGAATTTGAAGCGTACGAGTTGTTCAGAGCTGCTTTCTTCGACGGTGATGACAGTTCAATACCACGGAGTAATATAACAGAGGATGATTGTCTTCAAAATGAGGAAGACTCAGAGTTTGTGAAGAAGCTGAGAGACGCTGAAACTCCTCTGTACAACACATGTCGCAAACACACCAAAGTTTCTGCTATCATGGGGCTTTACAGAATAAAGGTGAGAAGCGGGATGTCAGAGAACTATTTTGATCAGCTTCTTAAGTTAGTTCAGGAGATGTTACCTGAAGATAATGTGCTTCCCACGTCAACAGATGCGATGAAGAAGTTCCTTAAGACATTTGGTTTTGGCTACGAGAACATTCACGCATGCAAGAATGACTGCATCTTATACCGGAAGTAGTATGAGGATTGGACAAGCTGCCCAAGATGTAATGCTTCTAGGTGGGAAGTGGATAAGCACACAAAAGAGGAAAAGAACGGGATTCCTGCTAAGGTTCTTTGATATTTCCCGATCAAGGAGAGATTCCGAAGGATGTTTAGAAGGATGGATGAGGATATGCATTGGCATTTCAGTAATGCTGCAGGAGATGGAACGATGCGGCACCCAGTGGACTCTCTATCTTGGTCTCAGATAAATAGTCGATGGCCTGAATTTGCCTCTGAACAGAGAAATCTTCGACTAGGTCTGTCTACAGATGGGATGAACCTGTTCTCGATCCAGAACACGAAGTATAGTACATGGCCAGTGCTACTGGTGAACTACAACATGTCACCAACATTGTGTATGAAAGCGGAGAACATAATGCTGACTATGCTGATCCCTGGACCTACTGCACCGAGCAACGACATTGACGTCTACCTTCAGCCGTTGATAGAAGATCTACAGGATTTATGGAGTGAAGGTAGTGAGGTTTATGACGCATTCTCGAAGGAAACTTTCAGTCTGAGAGCTATTTTGATGTGGACTATTAGTGATTATCCTGGTTTAGGGACATTAGCAGGCTGCAAAGTGAAAGGGAAACAAGCCTGCAATGTGTGTGGGAAGGACACACCTTTTAGGTGGCTCAAGTTTAGTAGAAAACATGTCTACTTGTGCAATAGGAGAAGACTCCCACCTGGGCATCATTACCGACGCAGATGGAGTTGGTTTGATAACACGGTCGAAGAAGACACTATGCCTAGAATTCAAACCAGAGTTGAGATATGTGAGCAGTTGAAAGACTTCAGGAATGATTTTGGTAAAGCTTTAGATAAGAAAGGGAAGCGAAAGAGGTCTGGTTTGTGTGAGGATGATGAGCTTTCTGAAGACGAACATGATGAACATAGTGATACATGGCGTTGGAAGAACCGATCTATTTTCTATGATCTCCCGTATTGGAAGGTTAGAAAATTATACAAACCTCTAAGTATTTTTGATTTTTAATTATTTTCTAACTGTCTAATTTCTTCTTTTCATTGTCTTAGAATATGCCTGTGAGACACAACATTGATGTCATGCACGTAGAGAAGAATGTGTCTGATGCCATATTGTCTATCCTCATGCAAAGTTCTAAATCAAAGGATGACTTGAAGTCACGTCGTGATTTGGAGGATATGGGGATCCGGAAAAACTTACACGCACAGGTACAAGGGAAGAGAAACTTTTTACCACCTGCTGCTTATTGGCTGTCTAAGAATGAGAAAAAAGAAGTTTTGCAAGAGATTGTCTGAATTCAGAGGAACACATGGGTACTGCACCAATATCGCAAACTGTGTTTCAGTGGATCCGCCTACAATTGGTGGATTGAAGTCGCATGATCACCATGAGTTATTGTAAAACCTTGTACCTGTAGTTTTGAGAGGATTGCTTCCAACTGGACCTCGGAATGCAGTGAATAGGATATGCAACTTCTTCAACCGACTGTGTCAGCGTGTGATTGACCCAGAGAAGCTTGTAGCATTGGAGACTGAGCTTATTGAAACCTTGTGTCAGTTGGAAAGGTTCTTCCCTTCGTCTCTGTTTGATATAATGTTTCACCTTCCAATTCATTTGTCAAGAGAGACACGTTTGGGTGGACCAGTTCACTTTAGGTGGATCTATCCTTTCGAGAGGTACTGGTTACGCTTATAAGTTATTCTCGTCTGTGAAACTTAATAATCAGATGGTTTATTTTCGTTTTTATTTTGCGTTTTGAAAATACTAAGTAATCTTGAACCTGTTTGATGTGTAGGTACATGAAGACACTCAAGGCATTTGTTAAGAATTTTGCAAGGCCAGAAGTTTGTATGGCAGAAGGTTATATGGCAGGTGAATGCCTTGCATTCTGTCTGGAATTTCTAAAGACATCTGCACCAGACTGGGAAAATACTAACTGTAATGAAGACCGTGAACCAGATGAAATAGTCCTTGAAGGTCGTCCAATTCACAAGGCTAAAACAGTTATACTTACGGAGACAGAGCGTGAGATAGCGCATCGATATGTTCTGATGAACACAGCAATGTTTACACCTTATGTTTCTTCTCGTCCCATTCCCGTTTCTTCTGTTTCTTCTCGTCCCATTCCCTAAATATAATTAGGAGTAGGCAAAATTCACATCTAGTCCCATCCCGTCCCATTCCGTTCCTTTTCATCTTGTCCCATTCTTTCATGTCCCGTTTGTCCTGTCCGCCCGTCCAGTCTCATCATATCCTATTATGTTTATTTCCGTTTTGTTATATCTATGTCTCATCCCTAAATATAATTAGGGGTATGCGAAAATCCCGTCTGGTTATTTCCTGTCCCATTATGTCCCTGTTCATCTTGTCCCGTCTAATCCCGTCCCATTCGGTTTCTTTTCATCGTTTCATATCCAACATATCCGTGTCATCCCGTCCAATACCATCATATCCCATTCCATTCCTTTCCGTCTTGTCTTATCTCTTCATGTTCCTTTCATTTTTTCTGATTATGTTCCTAAATATATTTAGGGGTAGGCGAAATATCCTATCTTGGCACTTAATATAAAAAGAAGTAGGCAAAATTCCTTTTTTCTTGCGTTCTGTTTTTTCTTCTCGTTCTGCCGGTCTCGTCTCAAAAGACTTAAAACAGTATTCTTTCTATAATATCTTGAAAACAACTATAATATTTTATAGATTTATATAAAATCTTTCTTCTTTTTTAAAATGACTTTTCATATTCTTTTAAGAGTGAATTTGGTGCAGAGCAATAATAGAGACTTTAATTGGGTAAATAACAATTCACATCTTTGTTAGAACTTAGAAGTAACTGACAAAAGGGTACCGGTACAAAATTCAATCTCATATGACGTGAGGCAAAAATGATGTTGGTGCGCGTGGGTGTGTAGAAACTTTGGCTTGAATTTATTGTGATCAAAGGTGAGTTAATGCAAGATTAATACAATTATTGGACATAATAAATGTAAACATTAAATAAAATAACTCAATATAGAAACTATAACGTATCAACATTTTTAAAAATAGAGTGATATCCTAATTTAACACATTGCATTTGGTTGTCAATATATATATGGTTTGATAGATTGATCTTTATATGTGTTTATGGTTATCTATATATGTATATGGTTTGATTTGGCTTTGATATGGTTGTTTATATATTTATATAACAATACATTTCTTTGTATATAAATTCATATTTTCATATGGTTGTCTACCTATATATTTAGCTATGTATATGTGTATATAACAGTTATTTATACTTACATGTAATCTATGAATAATATTGAATAATTGCTAAAAAAATTAATGTGTACATCAATTAACAATATACTATATAATATACATGTAAATGTAGTTAATAAAACTAGTTATATGTTTGAAATAAAATGTTAGATTTTAAGATTTTAATATTTGAAATAAAATATTAAGATTATTTATAACACACTAATAAAATAAATAGCATGTTATAAAAATATATAATTTTTTATTTATTAATGATGCGATGAAAAATATTAAACATAAAAATAAAATGCAACAATTTTTTTGTATATATGCTATAATAGGATATTTAGCATGTCATAAAAATAAATAACTTGTTCCATTTGTTTATAACGCAAAAGAAGAAACAATAACCATATAATTAATATGTTAACAGGTAATAAAACTATATAACAAGTTATTTAATTAAATTTACATGTATATTTATATGCAACTAATTACAGTATAACAAACTATATGCATTGAAAAGCACTAAATCTACAAATAACAGAGGAAAAAAATAAAACAACAAACATTTTTGCCACTTCACTTGGATTTTAATCCCAAAAAATATGGAGAAACTGTAAAATTATACACTAAGAATCTGAGATTAAGATCTTGAGTGTTATATTTTGGGATTCCGCTGGATTTTCTGGGTTATTACTTATTAACAAGGGTATAAGAAGAACAATAAAACACATGCATATTAATTGGATCTGAGAGTTGACAAAATGGAAAAAAGAAAACAAAAAGGATTTGAGATTTGAAGCACTACAATTCTGAAATGAACAAACTAAATTCGAATTGGATCAATCATAGAATTTTAAAAAGCAATCAAAGAAAAAATCTGAGGAAAAGAAAGAAAATCTATGGATGAAAGAGAGAAGAAACAGAAAATGTGTGAGGAAGAAGAAGAATGAAAAAAAAGAAGCAAACTGTGTGGCGCGTGAGGTTATTTCGGTAAGTAATCATGGCAAATTGTTTTCTCTCGCTGGGACATGAAACTCTCTTGTTAAAAATTTAAATACCCAAAGATTCATGGCTACTCAGTGCAAATACTCTTCTTTTAAAGCCTATTTATTGAATAATAATTATTATGAAAATTAAAAAAATTTGATATATTAAATTGTTTGCGCTGATGTGTCACAATTATAGCCCCTTGTTCTGCTGATGTGGCAGCACCATAATGTAATTGCATGAACTTTATATATATACTAGACGGTGACCCGCGCTACGTGCGAGTTGTGTTAATTTTATTGTTTTTCTGCAAATTTAATATTGTTTCAAAGATATTATACACATATTACTTAAATATAATTAGAGTTAGACAAATTTTTTGTACCATCTTGTTCCATCTCGTCCCATATCGTTCATTTTCATCTTGTACGTTCTTTCCCGTCCAGTTTGTCCTGTATGTCATGTCTCGTTCAGTCCTATCATATCCCATTATGATTTTTTCCATTTTGTTTATTATTGTCTCGTTCCCTAAATATAATTAGGGCAGACATAATTCTATCTCATTTCGTTCCTTTTCATCAAGTCATGTTCTTTCTCATCCCGTTCGTTCTGTCCGCCCCTGTCCCATCATATCTTATTATGTTCATTTCCATTTTGTCTCATCTCTGTCTCATCTCTAAATATAATTAAGGGTACGCAAAATTCTCGTCCCGTCCTGATCTTTACCTTTCCTTCCTTCAGTAAGAGCGTAGTGTGCACAGCCGAAATCCATGGCGGATCTGTTCCGTATAAATCTGTCACAGTGGTTGATCAGAAAAGAAAATCAGCACAATTCATTCATCTATCACCAATCTGAAATCTTTGACCATCAAATGTATGTAAGAAACACCGATTGAAATCCATGATTCTTTACTTGTGACAAAACTAACTTAACCGTACTCGGACCTAAAAGTAACTCTTCGAAAGTATAAGAAGAGGTTCGTCGAGCGAGAGACTTACCGGAATCCATGGCGGCTGGTGGACAATCGGAAGAGGAATCCAGTGAGCCCCCGATAGCAAGAGAGGTGAAGACGATGAAAGCCGACGATCGGCGTCTGGAGAGTGATGGCCGCGTGTGAAACAGCTTCAGCCTCGGAGAAGACAACATGGTTTGTGTCGAGGTTTTTATAGTCGTAGTGGGTAATTTAAGGAGATGAGACGTAACCGGCATATTTAATGGCGGTCATTGAAATGGTGAAACGGCGGAGGCAGGGATGCAGAAAGTCCCGGCGGAAGCAAGGAATGGACGGTGTTGATTTTGCAAGAAGGAGGATCTTGGCGGAGAGGAAAGAATAGGGAAACAATAAAATTATATTAACCCTAAATTCAAAACGACGTCGTTTTGGAGACACAGAAGAAGGGAGGAAATGATGTCATTTAGCTGTAACTTGGAGTAAGTTAAAAATAAGACTGGCTGACTTGGCACTCTCTGGGAGTGCTGACGTGTCATCAGCTGGAGAGTGTCACAAGCCCTTTCGATTATATAGATTAACACATTTCTTCATCTCGAGTATTTAAAATATTTGTGCATGGAAGTGTATGATTTTCTTTTTTTAAAGTGGAGAAATAAGGTAAGAGATCATATAATTAAAAGTTATTAGTTAGACGGATATTTTTATTTATGTACTATATACTCTTATGACTTATCTTGCTCACTAGTCTCGACCATATCACCATAATCTAAATGACTAAAACCCAACAATGAGGTAATTTTAAATCTCAAACTATATAAATATATTAGATGGTGACCCGCGTCGCCGTAAATTTATATTATTGTGTTAATTTTATTTTTTTCGCAAATTAATTTATATATGTGGTTTATTATTGTTTCAAAAATATTACACATATTAATTAAAAATAATTAGGGTTAGGCAAAATTAATGTACCGTCTTGTCCCATCGTATCCCATTTCGTTCATTTTCATCATGTCCGTTGTTTCATCCCATCCGTCATTCTGTCTGTCCCGTCATGTCATATCCCATTATGTCCTTTCTATTTTGTTATGTCATCATGTTCCTTCTGTTTCTTCTCGTCCCGTTCCCTAAATATAACTAAGGATAGGCAAAATTCCGTATAGTCCCATCCCGTCCATTTCATTTCTTCTCATCTTGTCCCGTTCCGTCATGTCCGCCCTATCGAGTCTCATCCTATCCTGTTATTTTTTTTTTCCGTTTTGACGTGTCTTTGTCCTGTCAATATAATTAGGGGTAGGTGAAATTTATGTCCCGTCCCTTCTCGTCCCATTATGTCCCTTTCATCCGTCCCGTCCAATCCCGTCTCATTCCGTTTTTTTCATCTCGTCATGTCTAATTTGTCTGTCTCGTCCTCCAGTCTTACCCTGTTTCATTATGTTTCTTTCCGTCTTGTCCTATCTCATCATGTTGTTCCTTTCGTTTTTTTCTATTCCGTCTTTAAATATAATTTGAAGTAGCCAAAATTATGTGGTATCTCATTCCTTTCCGTTCCTTTACATCCCATCTCGTCATTTAATATAATAAGAAGTGGACAAAATTCATTTCTTCTCTCGTTATTTTTTTTTTTCGTCTCATCCTGTCTGGTCTTCTCATTTCATCCCAAAATACTTTAAAAATTCAGTATTTTTTATATAATATGTTGACATCAACGTAAATTATATAATCTAATAAAAATAAATTTACTAAATAATAGTTTTTGTAGATTATACATAATATTTCTCCTTTTTAAAAAATGACCTTTCATATTCTTGTTAAACTTATTATAGTAATGAATGCTAATTATTATGAAATTAAAATATTAAAAAAAATATAATAAACTAAATAAAGTGTTGATGTGGCAATTTGCTGAATTTAGAAGGGATCTCTTTTGCTGAGTTGACAACACCAGAATAAAATAACACCAATTTTATATATATAGATATATGAGACTGGTGTGAAAGGGAGTTATTAGGATAACTCCATTAGAATAGTGGATGCGTTTTTACGGGAAAACGCTCTTTTAAATCCTGAAATTTTTGAAGTTGCACATTTTATTCTCCAATTATTGATTGCACATATAAATATATAATCCCTCAGTGTATTATTGATTTTTCAAAATTGGTTTTCAATTAAGCAACCATTAACATAGAAACGGATTTATTTTTAAAAAATTAACACAATCTGTTGAGATTTTCGGTTTTTTTTTTTTTCCCGAAATATTCATTCATTAATGCCGCTTTAATTCTCCAACTGCACAAAAGCATGGAGATACTGTTTTGCAAGAGAGTCTGCCAACAAATTGGCTTCTCTAGAAATTGAAACGAAATTTACATCCTTAAAAAGAGATGAGAGATGAGAAATATCCTGGAGGATCCCATAGATCTCCGATAGCCAGCTTTCTGAGTTGATCGCTTTAACGAGTTGTTGCGAATCTGAAACCACATGCAGGGAGGTGAATCCCAATTCTACAGCGTGTTCTAGGGCGAATCGGATCGCCAAACCCTGATCTGCTATTAGCGATGAAGCTATGTGCTTCCTTGCTTTTGATCTCTGGGTAATCAAGATCTGGTTGCAATTGTGGAAAACCCAACCCATTCCTCCTGCCTTCCGATCCTCGTTCCAGGCTCCATCGGTGTTGCATCGAACACTTTTCGGATGAATTGGGTTACTAGTGAATCTGCTCACCACTGAGGGTGTCTGCATCTGCTCTTGTGCCTCTTGCCATTCTTGTGCCCGAATTAAGGCCAGATTTGGGGTTTCCAGCTCTGTGAAACTTCTACTGTTGAAGATTTTATTGTTTATGCTCATCGAGATACTCTACATGATCCATGGTGCCAGCGTGCCTGCTCTGATTCTGGTCGGTGGTAGGCTGATCGCCTCGTTGAGCGCTGAGATTCCTGCTTTGATGTTAGTAAGACCCCCTGACATAATCTGATTTCTGAAAAGGGCTTGTCGCCACACCTCCTGTGCAAATTCACAGATGAACAGCATATGAAGCGTAGACTCAGCTTAACCACAGTGGATACACTTTGATTGGTGGAGGATTCCTCGCAAGGTTTTCTCCCACTGGTAATGCTCCTTGTACAACTTTCCATAAGAAAAAATTTCAATTTTGGTGCAAATTTCCCATCCCATACCTATGAGATCCAATTAAAACTGCTGAGAGCCGCAGGGATTTGGTCTGAGATGATTCTATCTCTTGCTGTATAATAGCTAGTCTTCACTGACTATTCTCATGACGCCTATGGGAGCCAGGCTAGCCGATCTTCTATATCAAAAGAGCCAAGGACAATGCAAAGAATCTCTCGTCCTTATATAGAGATAATAAAATGTTAATCAAACCTTCATTCCATTCTCTCGATATTGGTAGGAGAAGATCCACAACCTTCATATCTTTAGTATGCTCTGGTGTTGGTCCCATTGGTCTTTTAGGCTCTTTTGTCGAAAGCCATGGATCGTCCCATACACTTGTGGATTTTCCATTACCAATAACCTTTCCTAATTTTCCTTTCAACGGATCTCTGCCTATCATTATGCCTTTCCAGCCGTGAGAGCCTCCATCATTCATTTCATACTCTAAAAACTCTAATTCCGGGAAGTATTTTCCTTTGAGTAGTCTTGCTAGTAAGCAGTCTGGGTTGGAGAGGATTCGCCAACTTAGTTTACTGAGTAATGCATCACTGAAGCCCTGGATATCTCGAAGGCCAAGTCCTCCTTCTCTTTTCCCCGAGTGTGAGTTTATCCCATGCTATCCAGCACATTTTCTTCTTTCCATCATTTGCATCCCACCAGAAACGTGTGAGTACTGACTGGATTCTTTTACACAGACTCACCGGGAGTTTAAAGCAGGACATTGAGTATGTAAGCATAGAGGAGAGTACTGATTTGAGTAGAACCACCTTTCCTGTGCCTGAGAGCATTTTAGACGACCACAAGATGGCTCTTTGTCTTATTCTGTCCACCACAGCGCTAAAGAGGTCTTTTTTCTTCCGTCCAAATGCCTCCGGTAAACCGAGGTATTTTCCTTGTCCCCCTTCTTGATTTATTCCCATCAGACTCTTTACTTTCCTTCTAACTCTCAACGGGGTCTTTTTATAGAAGGTTACAGCAGATTTTTGGCAACTGATCTTCTGCCCTGAGGCCTCTTCATACTGACGTAGTATTTCTTTAAATGCTTTGCAGGTTCTTTCATTGGATTTACAGAAGACATTTTATCATCTGCAAAGAATAAGTGATTGATTTTTGGTCCTCGGTTTGCTATTCTGACTCCTGCGATATGACCATTTTCTTGTGCTCTGTGACATATTCCAGATAGGAGTTCACTACAAAGGATGATCAAGTATGGTGATAGGGGATCACCCTGCCGGATCCCTCTAGAAGGTTTTACATTTCCTTTTGCTGCTCCGTTAATGAGAAATTGAAAGGTAACTGATGTTATACACTGCATTATCCATCCAATCCACTTCTCATGGAATCAAACTCTCTCGAGAACCAATTTGATATACTCCCATTTGACTCTATCATAGGCTTTAGTCATATCTGTTTTGATCGCCATTGATCCCCTCTTTTTCGCTTTTGAAATTTTCAGGAAATGGAGGATCTCATGTGTTATCATCACATTATCAGATATTGCTCTCCCCGGGACAAACGCTGATTGGTTTTCTGAGATCAAACCGTTCAGAATCAGATGCAGCCTCGCATTAAGGATCTTTGAAATGATCTTGTAATATACATTACACAAAGCTATCGGCATGTAGTCGGCCACTAACTTTGGAGCTGGTTTCTTTGGTATTAGGCAGATATGAGTCGCATTGATTCCTCTTGGAAGGACTCCAGATGTGAAGAAACGTTGTATCTCCAGGGTTATGTCATTCCCTATTGTTTCCCAGTTCAAGTGAAAAAAGCTTGCAGAGAATCCATCTGGACTCGGCGCTTTGTCCGGATGGATTGAGAAGATTGCGGTTCTGATCTCCTCCGGTGAAGGTATCTGAATCAGCTTTGTGTTTGTTTCATCGAGATCCTCGGTGATATGCTCTGAGCCACAGTGTCTTCCCTATTTCCAATTTCAGAGGTAAACATGTCCTTGAAGTAGTTTGTGATTACTGCTTCTATTTTTGCCTCTTCATACACTGTATTTCCTTTATCAACCTCAATTACTGAAATATTGCTCCGTGCTCTTCTTCCCCTTGTCGCTGCATGAAAGTAACCACTGTTTTTGTCTCCTAGGTTGAGCCACATTTGTCGACTTTGTTGCCTCCAATACTCCTCCTCAGCTTGGTACGCTTCTTTTAGTCCTTTATTGATTTGAAAGATCAGGTTATCTCTGCTTTCACTGCTTGTCATCGCCTCCTCTAATTCTTTTCTTTTCCTTTCAATAAAATTGTTGGCTATTGCGATGATTTTGTTGAATAATTGCCTTTCTGCAGTTGGATATGCGATAATCTACATCAGCGTTGGGGTGAGCCTTCCATGCCTCTTCTACCAGTAGTTTCACTTCTTCATTATTCCTTAGGCATCTGTCGTAACAGAAGAGACCTTTTTGTTTTGTCTTTGTTGGGTAGAAGAAGGATATGAGCGGTCTATGATCAGATCCTTCGAAGCTTAGGTATTCACATCTTCCCGACGGGTAAGCTTCTATCCAAGCGCTATTTGCCATTGCTTTGTCTAGCCTGCACTTAACATTTTGCTTGTATCTGATTCCTCACCATGATAGGAAATTGCCAGAGTATCTCAAGTCGTAAAGGTCACACACTCTGAGAGGAAAGATCTAAAATCAACAAATGAGCTTTCTGCTCTTGCTCGGCCACCCACTTTTTCAGAGTTAAAACCATGGTATCTCTCGTCCAGCCATTTTCTCCTTTATGGCTCTCCAAACTTCATTTCTTCCGGCTCTCTCCGGGTCTCCATACACAAAGGTAGCCATAAACATTCTCCCTTGAAACCGCACTTATGTGTCTATGAAGTTATCATATTGATATAGTATTTGAAGCTCTATTTCTTTCTTCCATAATAGCACTAAACCACCTCCTCCTCGAGCATAAGGTGGTACTAGTGCGTACTAGGACATTACTTCTCTTACTTCTTCTCTCGCTTCTGCTAAAGTTTCTGTTGGAAGTTCATTGACTGCGGGAGTATGGCGAGTGCCTTGAGAAGTGTTCCTGGAGTGTGAGGAATCTACTAGTGATTGTCTTTTCTCTAAGGTCTGTACTGTATCATTTTCCCCACTTCTTCGTTCAATTATTGGTTCAGTCCTCTTTTCACTGTTCCTACTTCTGCTTGTAGATTCTGCAAGTACCGAGGTGGCTACTCTACGTCCCGTTTCCACCCATCGAGTTCCATAACCTTGCACTGTCTGATGATTCCTAGAGGGGTTTGTACGATATCCAGATTGGTAAGGTTGGTATCTTTATCTTCCCCTCTCCCAGTGAGATTTGGATGCCCTTGAATCTACTGATCTCTTGTTCCTTTGTAGGCCATTATCTTGGTAAGCCTGATCTCTGCTGTTAGATTTGTGTCCTCGGTTCTCCCTCCAGTTCTCTTTGCTTCGATCTTCTTCTCTCTGGTGTTCAGAGGCCAGTATTGGGAGATCTCGGCTAGTTCATTGAACGAGTCCTTCTCTACGGTTTGGCGGTAATGGGGGCAGACCTTGACTTTCCATCACCACTGGTAAGAGCTCGGGACATTCACTTTCGTCATGATCTAGCATTCCACACTTAATACAGTGTTTTTCCAATTTCTCGTAGTTTAGGGTTGCTAGTACTTCATCCCCGTTAGCAAACTCCAGAGTATAGGTTTTAGGGGGAGGGAGGAGTCCATTAACTTGGACTTTCATTTTTGCGTGGGTTTTTGTTATTTCCCAGCATTCAAAGACTCCCAGATCTTCTCCAATGCTCCTCAGCATGGCTTCGTTCCAAAGATGCACCAGTACATCTTGGATTTTAATCCAGAACGGGATCTGAGATGGGCAAGTTGTTGAGACGGTATGTTCCCACTGCTGAAGAATGAGCATCCAGTGTGCAAAGTGGTAAGGTCTGTTATTGCATTCAAAGACTCCCAGATCTTCTCCAATGCTCCTCAGCATGGCTTCGTTCCAAAGATGCACCAGTACATCTTGGATTTTAATCCAGAACGGGATCTGAGATGGGCAAGTTGTTGAGACGGTATGTTCCCACTGCTGAAGAATGAGCATCCAGTGTGCAAAGTGGTAAGGTCTGTTATTCATAACCATTTGCATGTCTGCAGCTGTAGAAAACTGGAACTGAAACTTTCCTTGTCCCAAGTCTGCGCCTATTGCGGGTGAGCTTGTCTTCCAATGCTCGCTGAAGAATGAGATAAGGAACCACATCTGCTGGATCTTTGGATTTGTCACTCTGCCAATCAGTGTCAACGAGTGTTTCTCCACCAGATCTGAGTTATCGAAGTCAGGAACTTTTACTCTTCCCAGACCTGGTGGTTCAAGGGGAGCAGCTGCCATTACAGACGTACAAGTCTCTTTGATAAAGGAGGATGTAAAAAAGTTTCAACACCACTTGGGTGAGAGATTTTTCTGAATGGTTTCCCACCGAAAAGGTTTCCGAAGAAATCAGAATAAGGTAAATATGCACTTAACGAGACTCAAACGATGAGTAGATTCTAGCAGAAGGATTCATACCAGCTAACATTTGGAAGTTTTCAAGGAAGAGGAGCTGACCGGAGAGACTATTTGGTGTGAAAGGAAGTTTTCAAGGAAGAGGAGCTTACCGGAGAGATTTTCTGTTTTAAACTCAGAATTTCCAAACTTAAAAACCCTAAAGGAATTTTTAGTGGACTCTGGCATTTTTAGCAATTTTCAACAAATTTTGTTGCTCGAATTTTGAATTTGTACAATCGCCAAAATTTAGTGGGAATTGCTAAAAATCGCCGAAGTTCGCCAAAAAATTCCTTAGAGATTTTAAGTTTGGAAATTGTTAGTTTACAACAGAAAATCTGGACGGAATGTGTTAAAAAACATTAAAAGAAGCCGTTTCTATATTAATGGTTGACTAATTGAATCCAATTTTGAAAAGTCATTGATACCTTAAGAAATTATACATGGAATCAATAGTTGGGGAGTAAGACATGCAATTTCAAAAAGTTCATGATTTAAATAAGCATTTTCCCACGTTTTTACAAGAGTACTAATATGTCCTCCCGTGCATACACACGGATCATTTTTTTTGTTAATAACATTTTTTCAAACAAAACAATTGTTTTCATAAACTATTATGTTTTTTTAATTAAAGAATACAATTAAACTAATGAAAAAAAAAAATAAGAAGCCTAGAAAAAGTAAAGAAATGTGTGAAAAGTAAAACGCCCCCAACATAAAGAAACAGTTTATTTTCTTCCTTCTTTTATATATAACTTGAAGTTTTAGTAAATGGCGAAACAAATATGTTTTCTTGTAATGCTTCATTAAAATTCTATATTTGGTTAACTAACAACTACTATTTTTTATTTTAATTGTTACATATTTTGTAGATTGCTGTGAAAAGAAAATGATCACTTGCATTATAAACCCCAAAATTGCGCAAGCATGATAGAGTAACAAAAATGGATTAAAACATCTGAAACAAAGGTGTCCCTATTAAAAACAAAAACGCATTGGTGGTATAGTGAGAGAGATATGTTCTGATGATAACTAACGCCTTCACCATTGTCTCCATTCTCAGCTTCTCGAAACTGCATCTGGAGTAACCATCATAACCATCTCTATTCCCAGGTTTAATGTTCTTCGCATCTCACTGTCTTCTATACCCTCAGACTATACAATAACCAAAATCAAATCAAACAATTAAGTATCTGCATCTTTTTTGTTCACGTTATCATAAATGATGATAGGTGTTAAAAAAAAAAATGATGATAGGTATTATTCAAACATGTTGAATCCATTTTATTGATGTTTAATATGATCTTCATTGTATTTGGTAACCGTAATAAGCATGATTGAATTATATATCAATCACTTGAAATATAGATCAAGAATGTGATACTTTTCTTTTGTAATAGTTAGATTTAAATTTTTGCATTCAACGCCATTCGTTAGATTTAGGGCCTGACTGGTTTAACCGCTGCGGTTGCGGTTGCGGGTGCGGGAGTTTGCGGAAGCGGGCGGTTGTGATTAGTAGCGTTATTAAGCGGTTTGTACGACTGGCATAACAATTGAAAATGGATGCGTTTGCGGGATACTTATGACTGGTTCACTTGCGGATGCAATAGCGGTTAAACAATAAATTAATAATATAAACACATTATATAATTATAAAAATATCAAAACTATATTATAATGAAAATTTTAAATTTATGGTTCAACATAATTAAAAAAATTTTTTTATAAAGAATAATATGTGTATAATACTTACGTCTATTTTTTAATTTCTATAATTTAAATAAAAAATGTGATTTTATTTTCAAAATATATATTTAATGTGAAAATTAAATTTATATTACAATTTTATTTATTAGATATATATGTATTAGTATGAAAAGAATATTTATCAAGAGAATTTTGATTTGTAGAACTTATAAATATATAAGTATGATATGATTTTAATGAATATTGACTAAAAGTACTAATTTTTTTTTATATTGTGATTTTATTATCCAAATCTTATTTTTTAATAAAGATTATTATTTATTTTCGGATTTTATATAAGTTTGTGTTTTTTTTTTTTTTTTAATTATCCACCCGCAACCGCCCGCAACCGCAAACGCTGCTGGGAAAGGAGCTTTTGATTTTGAGGGTTGTTGAGGGATCTTGAGCGGTTTAAAGCGGTATAAAGCGTTTGTGGTGATTGTTGTCAAACGCCAATAACCGCTACTACCCGCAAACGCTGCGTTTGCGGGTAGCAGCGGGTGAACCAATCAGCACCTTAAATCTTTTTCCTCCTTGCATCATACTATAACACAAAGAAGCTTAATTTTTAAGTAGGTCCTCCTTAAGCCCGATCACTAAACCTTCCAAGTCCATGTAGAAAACCAAAATGAAGATCATACAAATTTGGAAATAATACTTTGCTGGTGGCGGTGGTTTGACCATTGAGATGGTTTTGATCGATTTAAAAGTAAGTTTTCCACATGGTGTATTTGTTTCTCGAAACACTCAAATATCTTAGATGCATTTAACATTTTTTCAAAATATTTTTGATATATGTAGGGTGACAAGATTTATAACGAGTTGGTCAATGATCCATTTCTCATTTAAGGTGATTCAAAGATTCTCATCAACTTTGCAGTTTCTCAGTCAACCGGTTCATACCAAACCACACATCATACAAAAGTGCGAGAGATTGCCTGCTGAACTGAATGGAGTAAAATGTTGCATAAGATTTTGAGTTTGACTTTCTTTTATAATAAGATTGGTTTCTTTTCCACCTATTGTTGCATAAGATTTCGAGTTGTGTATATAAACATTTTTAACAAAAAAACTTTGAACTATAATCTCATCCCATATAGGTCGCGGATCCAACCCTAAATATATAAACCTATAAAGGAATAAAAGGATGATGGATGAAATGGGCTTGGCTTGGTATCAAAGAACAGAGCCCAAGAAGCTTAGAACGTCAACATGAAGCCTTCTAGTACTTTCCAGTTTCCTTAAACACTCTCATTCCCTTCTCTCCGTGTGTTTATATATACAAAATCTGCAACCTTTCTCGCTGCAGAGTGCAGATTTGGATTAAGTATCCATGGCGGAAGAAGTTGCGCTTGATTTGGACGAACTCAGGCAACTCCAGAACATCGCCAAGAGACCTCATGTTCTCAATCTCATCGATTCCGAGATTTGCAATTTGGAAAAGGTACCAAATCCTTTTTCGCCATTTATCGTTTTCTTCGAGTGTTAGGTTATCTGTAATATATCCTCGTATTTGTCGATGAACCTGAAGTTGGATTTGATTTTAGTTTCTGGAACCTTGTATTAAGCTTTTATTAAATTACCAGGAAAAGAGATGAGGACGAAACAATTTTTGAGTTGTAATAGCGGAATAAAATGATTATGATGAACTATCTCTTGGATTTAGTTAGAAACGCATCGCTTTGATTTCTTATATAGTTTATATCTTCTCTTTGTAGCTGAGAGACTCTGCAATTGGTTCAAGTGCCAAACCAGAAGTAGCAGTGCCAGTTCCTGCGCCGGATTCTCCTTCGGTTAAACGAATTTCTCCGGCAGCGAACTATGTAACTCTGGGAACATTCAGCTGGGATCAAGACAACGAAAAAGTCAAGGTAAACCAATCAGAATTAGACTCGGATTTTGGAATGAATTTTGTAGCTTTTGTCTGGTTATTTGACTGGTTTTCCTCCTTGCTTTTATTTTCCAGATGTACATTTCTCTGGAAGGTGTTGATCAGGACAATGTTCAAGCTGAGTTCAAGCCACTGGCTTTGGACATCAAAATCCATCATGTCCAAGGGAAGAATTACCGTTGTGCCATTCCGAAATTGCACGGAGAGATTCTGCCTGAGAAATGTAAAGTGCTTGTAAAGCCTAAGAGGATAGTTATCACAATGTTCAAGTCTTCCAGAGGAAACTGGCTTGACATACATCACAAAGAAAATAAGGTAAAAGTCTAAAACTCAGGAACACCATCTTGTAACGCCAAATGGTGGAGTTTTTTTTTTTTTTTTTTTTTTTTGGTGAAACTAAAAATATTATCTGTTTGTTCAGATTAAACCTAGTTTCGAGAAAGAGAAAGACCCAATGGCTGGAATCATGGACTTGATGAAGGTGAGGAATCTCTCCTAACTCTTGATACTGAGAAACATGTGTGTGCATATTTTTTACTAGTTTCTTTGTTTTGGTGCAAAAGCAGAACATGTATGAGGGAGGAGATGAAGAAATGAAGAAAACAGTAGCCAAAGCTTGGACAGATGCAAGGTCTGGCAAAGCAGGAGATTCTCTAAAAGGACTTTGAAGCTTCTATGAGTCTGTGACGAGAACGTGTGGATTCAGGTTTAGTGATCGTATATGTGAAAACCAAAACATCCATTTTTTTAGTCAACTCGTATGTTGCTTGTGCTGTTTTGGATTTATGGCAGTTGTTTCTTTAGTGTTTAAAACTTGTTTAATGTTAAGGTTTTCTTTATTGAAATCGAGCTAAGTGCCTTTCGAAAGACAAAATTATATAAACTCATGCAAATGATTCAAAGCTAGACTTCGTGATGTTGGAAATTTTGATTTCTTCTCTAACCTTTGGAAATTCTACATCCTAAAAAATTTCATGAATATGGATGACGATTTTTGTAGAGTTAATGGTTTTAGTTAACAGCAGGAATGTTAAAGAACTGAGACGAGATCTTGGGCCTAGCCCGCAATAAAATGTGCTAAATGGAATCTTCCAACCCACATAAATACTTCTAATTGACACCTACTATGAATTTATTATGATTTATGACCATGATCATCTGTCTTTCTGATTTAAAAATACGTAAAGACGTGGTTGCCTGTAAGTTAATACTAATAGAGTCCGTAACGCCATAAAATTCGTCGATACTTAACCTCATTTACTCTGCCAAAGAAGAGAGAAAAATGATGAAAAACTCATTTCCCTTGGAAAAACGATTTACATGGGTGAAGAGGGCAAAAATGTTGAACGATCCGTAAGCAAGTGAAACATACTCATACAGTAAGATGAAATCAAGTTATTGAAAGAAGATAATTCTACTAAACAGACAAACAAAAAAATTGAAAGAGACACAATCAAAATGGTGGTAATTAATCAACTCTTGGATTCTAAACAGAGAGCTGTGAAGATGGTCTCTTACCATCATCTATGTATCCCAAAGAAGGTGGTCGAACCGGTTTAGGACTCTCAACCATATTAGCAGCAGCAGCAACATCACTAGCCGAACTCTGCTGAACCAAAATCGGATAAATATCCGTAGAAACCGAAAGCCGAGAAGGTGAAGCCGGAGATGAAGGAGAAGGCGAGACCGACGGCAATTCAGAAGCCGAATACGAAGCCATCGAAAGCGTTCTAGTGATGGAAGGATTAACCTCTGCAACTTCTTCGATGCCTTCATCGATGTAAACAACATCTTGCATTGTTAATTGATGATACTCAACGATTTCCCTCAAGAATCTGTTTTCTCTTGCGTAGATCGAGTTTTCGTGCGCTAATCTCGCTTTCTCCGCAAGCAATGTCTCTAACTGAAGCCTGATTAGGTCATCATCAGCTGGATTGTTGTTTCCCTTATCCCGGTTATCTCTTAACCGTTTGTTTTCTTCTTCCAATTGAGCGCATCGTTCTTTAGCGAAAGCTAAATCGGCTTTAACCGTTTTCAATTCCCGGAGGAGCAGCTTGGCTTTCGCTGCTGTAGCCATGGCTACGTCACGAGAAGCTTTGAGTTGAGATTCGTGTGGGTTTGGTAGCGTTAATGGTTGCCATGGACTGTTTGATCCAGAGGATTGATGATTACTCTCGGAATCGATTAGATCGGATCCTTTTCGCCTGATCTGAGAAGCTACGATCGTACGGCCCTCCTCGAATGCTTTCTCGAAACTGTCTCCGATCTGATTCAACGACGTCGTGATTTTGTCTATGCTTTTGCGTATCGTCGGATTATTCGAGGTCTCGGAAACGACGACGTTTTGTTGCTGCTGCTGTTGCTCTTCTTCGTCCTCGAGGATTGATTTCGCTTTCTGTGCTAGAATTCCCCAGAATCCGCGACTCTCGTTCCTATCCTCATAAGCGGTGAATCCTCGTACCTGCAATTTGCCGAATTTAGGCTTTTTTTTTCTTTCAGGGGAATAATTTTCATGAGAAAGAGAGAGAGAGAGAGAAAGACCTGAGAACTGGAATCGGGGTTAAGAGAAGAGGAAGCGCGGATTGCTTGAGCAGCAAGGGAGGAATGAGAAGAGAACGATTGAGAAGATCTGAAGGATCCACCATTGGAGTGACCTTTGAGATCACCGTGATCGTGATCAGGTGGTTGATTATAGATATCTTCCTTGAATGTGGAAGCTCTCGTGATCCCTTGTCTTCTCCGATACGCCATTTTATTTTGTTTTTCGTCCTTTGTTTGATTCTTCTTCTTCCTCTGTGTTACTTACTTTTTTTTTTTTTGTTATTGTTATTAAGAAATTTGCTTGTCACAATTACAATCTTTGATTCTTTGGTTTTACGTAATTCGCGTTCTTAAAAATTGATGTATATTTTTGATTAATCAGAATATTAGAAAGAAAAAAAACACCACCATAAAACGTGGCCTCTACGTAAAATGGTCGCCTCCAAAAAATATATGCAAGTAATAGATTAATTAGTGGGCTATGTAATAATGATGGGCCTTTTGGCTCACGACTCGATTGACAAAACATACAATGGCAAAAACATTTTTGATCAATCATAAAGTTAGAATCTATAATGGTTTACATAACCAAGAGGTTAATTGGAACCCACAAAAAATTGGTTTTGGGAGAAGTCTAAACTCAAAAATTTCCAACTTTCTGTTCAAAGATTGTCAAAAGGTTACAATAAAAAAGGAAAACATTAAGCAAGAATGTCAAAAGCTATCTTCCGTTTTCCATGAGTTTCAAAGAAAAATTGCAGAGTGGTTAAATATATAGAGACCAGCAGAAATTATGGGCTTATTAAATTGTGAGTTGATAATATTTGCCTGTTCCTCTGTGGTTTAGGCCATGTTTGTTTCATCAGTTGGATGTTTAAGCTGGATGAATCATCTAAAACTACATGAATGCATAAGAAGAGAAAAGGAACAAGATATGATGCTAATGGATGCTAAAACTATGCAAAAGATGCATAAAAGATGTGCTAAAACTATGTAAAATGCAAGTACATCAACACCCCCAAACTTGACCTTTGCTTGCCCTCAAGCAAACAAATAGAACAAGAAAGAGATGAGGTTTGAAAACAAGTTGATTCAACACTTAAAAACATGTCCTCAAAAGCGATTTGCTAAATGTCCAACTTAGAGATTCTAGAATGCAACAAGGTGAGAGATATTCATTAAGATTTAACCATGCTTATCAACATCAATCCCACTTCACAGTCACTCAAACAATGCATTCAAATCAGCAAATCCCTTTAACATTCATTAAGCAAAAACAGTGAACCAAAAACATGCAAGATCAATCAACTCATTTGGTTTCAAGGGTTTATGGGTTAAGAGACAAAGAGGGTCTCTTTTGTATGGTGGTTTAGTAACAGGGATCTCTCAAGAAAGTGGCTTTGCTTTGGCAGAAGGCTAAGTGTTAGAACCAAAGATGATGCAAGAACAGCAGCTCGAGCCACCTAATCCTAACTCGATCGAGTTCAACACTTAGAGCTTTTTAGAACAAAATCCTAACTACCCTTTTTGGCATTTCGCCTTTGAAACTGAGGAGCTTTGCTCACTTTTCTTTTAAGAACATCCTAGGGAGAGGCTTCTTGAGGTAACATCTAGCGGTTTGGGATTTTCTAAACACTTAGGGAACTTTTCTTCTTTTTGACACTTGAGGCTTTGCCTTCTTTTCTTTCTACTTAGAACCCTTTTTTCTTTCTTTTTAACTTCCCAAACCTTTACTAGACCCTTTTTAAACACTGCCAACTCCCTGGACTTAACTAAACTCTTTTCCTTTGGTTTTCCCAACTTTTACCACTTTTCTGGTTTTTACACCCAACTCGATCGAGCTCGAGTTGGCACCCCCAAACTTAGCCTGAAAACAATCCCAAGAGAACTAGACAACTAGAACTACTGCCTGCCGGTTTAAACACAACACCTTATGCTAAGCAAAGCCAAGAAAGGTTCTCACAATTCGCACAAGAGATAAATGGGGTTTGAAATGAAAAAGGCTTAGGTTTAAGGTGTGGTAACTGTCTCAAAGATGGAGATCAGCTATCTGGACAAGCAAGAGGGATATGAAAATAGGTAAAGAATGTCCAGATATGTATGTGGTAGCCATGAGTTGAAATCAAATGCAAGCATTGGTAATTAAAGATCAAGTTATGGTTCAAATAGATAGGGAAATGCATCAAATCACAGCAATGGTTGAATGAGATGTGCATGCAGTGATATGATCAAGATAAACATGGTTCTTGTTGCTCAATCAATCTCACCCTAATGCACAAAAGAATCTAAAAACAGGGCACTCAAGAAATCGCAAAGATGAACAAGTTTTCAAAGTCAAATCAACAATGCAAGTGAAAAATGCAATCCTAAACAAGTCTAACAAATATGAATGCAAAAAGATGAAAATATTTTTGGATTTTTTGAAAATTTTATGATTTTTTTGGTTTTTCTATGCAAAAGATGAATGAAAAACTAAGAACAAAGAAAACAAGGTTAAATCATCTCTTGAACCCTCCCCCAAACTTAAATCACACAGTCCCTTGTGTGAAAAATTCAGTGAAAGATTCAAGAGGGCAAAACCAAGAAAAACAAGAAAAATGCAAGAAAATATGAAATGGTATTACAAGGGGTTGGTGTTTGATACCTTAGTGCTCCCCAAAGAACTGGGAGGCAAGGTCGTGGTCTGGAGAGGTAGACGGCCATCAGGAGCTCCATGCAATCTCTGGCTCACTCGATCGAGCTTGCGGCTCCTCTTCTTCATCCTCAAAGTGGGTGTGGCTTCCTTGGCCTTGGTGGAGCTGGCTCGCTCGAACGGTTGTAGGGGTCCAGGGTCTGAGAAGTCTTGGTAAGGCGTGGATCGTACTCAAATCCCGGATTCTCAAACTGGGGCTCCTCCAGGTCAACTCGACCCTCAGCTCGATCGAGTTGAGTTTCCTCTGTTTGGACTCGATCGAGTCCGGTGGTCGAGCTGGAGCGTCTGGCCTTAACTCTTCCTCCTCTTCTGTTTGCTAGCTCCTGCCTCTCTTGGCTCATATGATGGGGCTCAATGAATCTAGGAACTCACAAGTAAGCTCCTTGTAAGACTCCATCCTGTGAGAGAAGAACTTAGCCAAGTGCATGTTCTTGAGCACCAACTCCACATCCTTGATCATCCCAAGCGCTTTCATGGTCTTGTCATGGGGGTACTTAATCTCCACAAAATCCATAGAGAAGAGAGCATTGTAGTTCTCTTGGAACATGGGGAGGTCATCATCTTCTTCTTCTTCTTGAGGCTGTTCAGCCTCCTCCATTGGCTCATCGGCCACTTCCTCAAACTCTTCCTCTTGTTCACCTTGAGAATCATCACTCTCTTCTCTTCCAACATTCACCCCAATCTCAAACTCGCCTAGTTCACTCTCACTGCTCAATGACTCTTCTTTCTGTTTTCTCCTCTGTTCTTCCTTCATTCTAACAAACTCCTCCCCTTCATCTTCATTAATCCTCTCTCTCATTCTTCTTGCCGCCTCTGCCCTTTCCTTTCTTCCTTGAGCTGCATGGCTTCCTTCACCTCTCAACATCTTAACCTTGTTGCTTCTCAAAGTGGATCCCCTAAAATTCATCAAAGGTCCAAAGAATAATTAGAACTGTAATGAACGATTCGGTCAACTCGACACCCAACTCGTCGAGCTAAGTAACTTGGGTCACACACTCGATCGAGCTAGGTTGAAACAGAGCAACCAAATCAAAATCAAGGATTAAGAGCAGGATAGGATGCTAAACAGTCAAATTGATCCAAGAATAACAAGAACTCGGGACAATAAGCAATACTAGTGAAGATTAAACCTAAACAATACTAAACTCAAATTCAAAGGATTAAAACTCATGCAACAACTTTAAAGGTAAAACAATGGTGAGACGAGCCAGGTTCATGAATTTCTCTAAACAAAAGAGAATTATGAATGCAATAACTCAAGAACAAGCTCATAGAGAACACATGCAAGCAAAATTTAAAAGAGGCGAATTGCAATGAGAGATAAAAGGCGAATTGCAATGAGAGATAAAGGAGGATAAAAACTAATGATTCAGAGGGTTTAGAGATCAAACCTTGCTTGGATTATGGCTGCTCTAGAACAAGAGCTAGAAACTATGCAGTTTAAGCAAAGGAAACAAGGAGAAATCGCAAAAACTTAAAGGATAAGAAGAGATTTTCTGGTTTTCTTAGAGAGAAGGGAGAGAGATGAGTGATTTCAGAAATTTGTGAGTGTGAGAGAGAGAGGGTGCCTGGATCGAGTTATAGGGAAAAGAGGATGTGTGAGATGTGTGGTGAGGATTAAAAGATGGTTTAAAGAGGGGACAAAAGCATAGGGTTTCTTTGGTCGAGTTAGGGAAGTGGGGGATCAAAATCACAGATGTGGGACCCACTCCCTTGACCAAGGAAAACGACACAAATTTGAAAATTCAAAAATTTTAACTCGATCGAGTTACCTTTGTTTCTGGCTCGATCGAGTTGACGGTCAAGCTGGCTTCTTTTCACCTAAACTTATCTTCCTGCAAAGGTTGAGGCACGAAAAACTGGACATAAATTGAAATAAAGACTATGTACAAGGATAGACATGGGACTTTGATGATAGGATTTGTGTGTGGGTGATATGAAATGATGTAAGTGATATGAGGTGGAATGCAAACAGTGGTGAATAAAGATGAGATGGTATGGTGCAATCACAATCAATCAATTCCTCTTAACCATCATAGTCGATGTAGTATAAGAGGTTATCAATCCATAAGGGTTTGTTGCTCTATGAAATATGCAAACACAAGGAAGTCAAGCAGACAGTAAAGATGATGGGAAGTAACTCTAGCAACCTAATGAAATGAAATGCAATGCAGAAAGTAAAAGAAAACAGTAAATGAAAGCAGCTCGACCAAGGGCTCGATCGAGTAGAAACAGAGTAACTGAGCTCGTCGAGTTGAGGGTCGAGTTAGCGTAAAAACAGAGGAAAAGCGATAAAGATACGAACTTTAATACGATAATGCGAAGGTAGGGTCTAAGACAGGGTCTTGCGACTAGGGGAAGACTATACTTAATCAATCTTGCTCATTAACCACTTGTACTCAAGCTATCTCTTGGTATTGAGCTTCTCAAGCCTAGCTAACCCTTTCCCAAGGTGAAAGCTATCATCTAAGGCAAGATCTCAGAAACAGGGGGTTAGCCAGTGAGAATCAAGCCTTAGAGGCAGTAGGATCATTGCTCAAACTAACCCATCCAACACCTATAAACTCCATTTCGAGAGCAAGCATATTGGAGCTCTTAGTGGACCTTTTCAAGCGATTTCCCAGAGGAAAATCGCCTAGACTGGTCATGTAGCCTTAAGGCTTGTCCAAAAGAGAGAGATTTCTAGGTTAAGAACATAAAGCAAAAGAGATTAAGCATAAGGATCCTCTAGTCTAGCCCATCTTGGACCCTAAGGATAACTACTCACTACACATAACGAAATACACAATCAAATGAAATGAAAGAGACATAATATGAAAGAGGGAATGAAACTAAAGAACTTTTATTGAAATAAGCAAGTGCAAATACAGAAAGATAAGGCCTAGATCTAAGGTTCAAGAGCAAGAGCTCAAGAACACAAAGAGAGGCTTAGGTTTTGCAAAAAGTAAAAATACAAGTTAAGAAAAGCTAAAACGAAAATAAGCTAAAGATTGTTGTCTTTTTCGTGGCCACAAGCCTTTAAATACAAGAAGGATTAGGTTTAGGGTCAAAGGGGAGTCAAAGGGGAAGCAACATTTTTCGGGTTTGACCATTGACTCCGCAGCTCGATCGAGTTGGAACTTGGCCGGTCGAGTTGAGGAACTCGACCGGTTGGTCGAGTAGATGGGTCGAGCTGACTTCAAGACGGCTTCCTTCTTCATTCTAAGTGATGTGAGTCAGGTTTTACCAAACTCTTTAGACCTCTGCAAGTGCACAGATCGCGGAAGTATGGGTATCGAACACAAGGACTGGCTATTGAGTACACTTTGAAACTATAGATTTTGGATCAAGCTAAAACAAAAGTAGAACTAGCAAGTAAATAGGTTGTAAATCAATAAGGAAGAAGCGCTAGGTCAACAGGGGCTAATCGCAGAGAAGCAAGCAATGATCAATGAAACAATGATAGATGAATTGATGTAGGGATATTGGGATATTAAAACCGTCTAGAACACAGATCACGAATATAAAACCATTCCACTTTCGAGGCTCCGGTTCCTTTGTTAATCTACCTAGTCGCTAAACTTTTGGTATGTCCCTAGGTGATTAAATCAAGCTTTAGATCGAGGGGTTCTGATACAGTTCACTAGGTTATAGTAAATCAACTTTCGCAGTCTAAGAAACCTAGCTTGTCAAAGAATATGTCCGGCGAATGATACAACACTTTCGAGGCTCAAATCAACCTAAGATCGGATTACTAGATGCGCGGTAAAGCAATCAGCATTAGTTAAGTGCACAAGACGAGACAAAGACTCTAAGATAATCCCTAGCTAAACATCGAAATCAAAGATCATGCAAGCAACTCATTGATTAGTAACCCTAGCAACCTAACTAGTGGATTACTCAGACATGATCAAAGCAATAACACATAAAGATGAAGAAAACATGATTGCAATAAACTCTAAGTATGAAAATCGTGATACAAGGGCGGCTCTCTCTCTCAAGAGGCTAAAAAGTTGTATTTATAGTGCTAGGTCTTCAGAGGCGGCATTAGGTTAAGCCGGGCCGTGAAAACGTGTGAAACGGGCTTCAAAACGGGCTTCGGGTCGACGGGCGTTCGGGTCGATCGGCCGGCTATCGGGTCGTGGTCGGCTATCGGCACGGTCGGAACGATCGTGGCCGAGAGTTTTCGCGTTCGGCCGACGGGTCGGACGGATGGATGATTGGCCGATGATTCTGGTCACGGGACGAAGCCTTCCTGGTCGACGGATGGATCGGCCGCGGGTACGTGATGTGTGCCGTGCGGCCGCGAATTGCTTCCCGGTTCGCGCGCGCGGTCGTGCACGGCTTGTGGTGGCGAGGCTGAACGGCTCGACCGCGGGACGTTGCTTCCGGGTCGGTACGTGAGCTCGGCCGTGGACTTGGCGGGATGGCGCGGATGTTGTGCGCGGGACGATCGCGGTACGTTCGTTCCTCGATCGGCCGGTGTGCGCGTTAGGACGCAATGCTCGATAAAGCCGTCTGGACCAGTCTTCACTAATTTGATCATAACTTCATTTCTACTCATCCAAATGATGCCAATCCAATTGCGTTGGAAAGTTAACTCACTCAGAGCACGCAGGGAACTGGTCTTGATGAAATCCATTGAGTAGATCTTTTTCTGGGCCCTTTCAAAGTTGATGCTTGGTATGGAGCGGCTTGAAGCGCCAATCCTATGGTTTTGCTCCAAAATGCATCATTTCACCTGTTTAGACTCTAAGTACTATAAATCCAATAAAACTACCTTTTTAGATAGAAAACCTGCCAAAAACCATTAGAAAACAATACTAAAATAGTATAAAAAGCATGTAAAATAGAGGTATATCACTAAGCTTGTGCGGTTGAGCTGAATCCATGCACCGAGTCCTTCCTTGCTCCTCACGTGCCAATTGCTCCAAAGTGCCCCAAAAAGACCTATTCAAGGATCAAACATGCACATGTATGAAAATGCAACCTAAAACTACTATGAATGCATAAGAAGGTAAAAGGAACAAGATATGATGCTAATGGATGCCAAAACTATGCAAAAGATGCATAAAAGATGTACTAAAACTATGCAAAATGCAAATACATCAGACTTCCTCCCAAGTGATCTTGTTTAAGGTCCCATAGCTTGACCTTTACCTTTTAGGCATTGGTTGAGCTAGTCCCACCATCAAGGGTGATAGTGAGGACTTGAGATAGAAGCTCCTTCAACTTGGTTGGATCCTGGATTGCTCAGAAGTGACCAAGGCTCTAGCTCTAGAGAATGGTCTTGATCTCCATTTGTACCTTATCTTGTACTCAATCTTTCCATTTTCAAACTTGGTGGGGAACAAGTTTATAGTGAGCTGAGATGGCTTGTTGAAAGAAGCCTGAACTGGTGGATCCTTTCTCTTGTCACCTGGTCGTGCCTTAGAGGCTGCATCCTCCCTTCCTTTTGAGCCCTTCCTAGTGGCTCATCAAACAAAGCTTGAAGGCTTTCTTCATCAAGGACACATGGCACATGAACAAGGCGATCAGCTCTTGGCCTTTCAGGTCTTGGTTTCTCAAGTCTTGGTTTCTGAATCCTTGATCCTTTGTCAACCCTTTGATCCCTCTCAACCTTATCTCTTACAACTCTTGGCTTCTTTTCAACCTTTTCCTCACAACCTTGGCAACTTCTTGACTCTTGGAACTCAGAGGGGTGCTTTCAATTGTGCCACAATACTCATTTCCTCTAGGCTGCAAATGATAAGATACCAAAGTATTCACCTTGTGGAGAATCACCTTTTGCTTGTGAAAATCAATTGAAGCGCCAACTGTACTAAGGAAAGGAGTTCCCAAAATCAGAGGCACATCCTTCTCTTCTTCCATCTCCAAGACAGTGAGATCAGTTTGGATGATGCATTCTCCTATTTTCAAATTATAGTTTTTGAACACACCAAGAGGAGATTTAGAATTTGCATCTCCAAACATGATTAAAGTAGTAGGGCGCTGCAATGCTTCCAACAATGCCAAGATTCTCTACCATTGTGAGAGAGATGAGGTTTATACTTGCACCAGAACCGACTACGGCATTGTCAAGCTCAAGATGGCCAAGTGTGCAAGGGAGAGTGAATTTCCCTTGATTCATCACCTTTGGTAAGAAAGTAGGTGAGGTGAGGAGGTTGGTTTGAAGGGTAGAAATATCCAGGAGGTGTGAAACTCTGTTCTTGTTATCCAAAACATCTTGAATCAATTGCATTTCCTGAAATGCCTCACTCATGCTTTTCATAGTAGGCAACTCAACTCCAATCTCACTAAGGTCTCTTCTGAACTTGTGAATCACTTCCTTATGGCCTTGACTGAGTAGGCGGCCTGAGGATGGATCAAATGGCTGGTAAGGATCAAGCAAAATGGGCTTCAAAACTGATGGTGCCTGACTCGATCGAGGTAGAACTCGACTCGATCGAGCTGCCGATCGAGCTTGTTGTGCGAGCTCAACTGGTGAAGTGTGAATGTCTATGGGAGTAGCTTGCACTTCAGGTTGATCATTCTGGACTCCAAGAGCCTCAGCAACAACATTGTCTTCGTCATTAAGCAGCATACATAACTCTTCCATGACTCTTTCATTATCCTCTTCTTCTTCAAGCCCTTCTTGGTGAGTGAAGATGACTTTGCACTGTTCCTTAGGATTCTGAATAGCTTTACCAGGTAGTTGTTCTTGCTTTGCAGCAGCAGCAGTAGAAGAAGCATGGTTTTCCAGAGAGTACACGCTTCTGTTCAGGTTCTCAATCTTGGAGTTAATTTCAGCTAGTTTCTTGCTTGTCTCTACAACACCATCCGCTTGGCCTTGTAGCAACTGTTTCAACATGGCCTTGATCTCATGCTCAGGTGTAGGCGCATGCTGGGGTGGTTGGTGGGGAAAGCCAGGTGGTATGTGCATTTGCTGACCAGGAAAAGTCCCTTGAGGGCCTTGGTAGTTGTTTTTCGGACCATACCCATGTTGAGGAGCTTGACTCGATCGAACTTGTTGTTGTTGAGGGTAAACCTGATCTTGTGAATGGCTATTTGAGTAGCTTGCACTTCAGGTAGAACATACTGGACTCCAAGAGCATCAGCAATAACATTGTCTTCATTGGTGAGCAGCATACATAACTCCTCAATGGCTCTCTCATTATCAGCTTGTTCATCAAGTCGTTCTTCTTGAGTGAAAATCACTTTGTGATGCTCCTTAGGGTTCTGAACAGCTTTTCCAGGTAGTTGTCCTTGTTTTGCAGCATCAGAAGAAGCAGCATGGTTTTCCAAGCTGTAAACTCTAGTGTTCAAGGACTCTATCTTGGAGTTGATATCAGCCAACTTCTTGCTTATTTCCACAACTCCATCCACTTGGCCTTGGAGCAACTGTTTCAACATGGCCTTTAGCTCATGCTCTTGGTTAGGCGCAGGTTGGGGTGGTTGGTTAGGAAAGTCAGGTGGTATATGCATTTGATGTCCAGGGAAAGTCCCTTGACGTCCTTGATAGTTGTTTTTCTGACCATATCCTTGTTGAGGAGGTTGACTCGATCGAGTCTGTTGCTGAGGAGGGTAAACTTGGTCTTGAGGATTGGCTAAATCTGTGTTTCTGTAAGACATGCCTGGATTGGCTTTGTAGTTGTAATAACCCTTCTGGTAGCCACAACCTTGAAGTTCAGACGCGGGTCGATCGTGGGACGATAGTTCCTCGGTCGGCCGGTACGCGTAGTTGGAACGCGGTTACTCGGTTTAAGCCGTCTGACCAGTTTTCACTAATTTGATCATAACTCCGTTTCTACTCATCCAATTGATGTGAATCCACTTGCGTTGGAGAGTTAACTCACCCAGGGCACGCAGGGAACCGGTCTTGATGAAATCTATTGAGTAGATTATTTTTCAGGCCTTCTCAAAGTTGATACTTCGGTATGGAGCAGGTTGAAGTGCAAATCTTGTGGTTTTGCTCCAAAATGCATCATTTCACCTGTTTAGACTCTTAGTGATATAAATCCAATAAAACTACATTTTTAAAAAGAAAACCTGCTAAAAACCATTAGAAAACCATACTAAAACAGTATAAAAAGTATGTAAAATAGAGGTATATCAACTCCCCCAGACTTAGATCTTTGCTTGTCCTCAAGCAAACATAATCTAAATCCGTGAAAGAGGTTTGAAAATGTGGAAACTCCCTTGCCTCTTTGAAAATCATGTGAAAGGTTCCTTTCCTGTATTCCACTAAGAACATAGGCAACATAAGGTCAGCTTCACATACACCCTGCGAATTCTTTTGCTTGTTCCTTGTTTGATAAGGTATTCCATAAGACATGAAGGTACAGACATATGCATTCCTCATGCTTACTTGTTTTCCTTGTGCTCTTTGAGCTTTTTCTCATAATTTTACCATTTGGGATGGGAGAGAGAGGAGAACTGCTTTAAAGGTTAGACAAATCTTATTGAAAATCAAGCAAGGAACTGTCGACATGTATGCCAATCCCCTTGACAAGAGTATTAAGATTGATTAAGGTGAGGTTAACTCTAGATTGCTTGGTTACCTTAGAAATTTTGCTGAGCTAGCATGTCGATCCACTGTAAGAGCTTCTGTTAGGCTTGTGCCTTTAGCTGATTCTGCTCTAGGGTCATGGATTGTTAGCACAACACTCTCAATTCTCAAAGCAAGTTCATAACTTCCGGACTGGTTTTTGACTCAATAAAACTTTTTGAAAAACATGAAACAAAGTAATAAAACATAAGAAAAGAAAGAAAAATGCATTAGTAACACAATAAAACTCCCCCCAGACTTAACTTGCACCGTCCCGGTGAAAGCAAATCACATTAAGGTGAGAGGTAATATTCAAAGTAAAAGAAAAATAAAAAGAAATTCATTAAAATGAGATAGGGATAGAAAATGGAGATTTGTAAGTGTCCATTGCACTAAGTACCACTTGAGATGACTATGTGTGGCAGTGAGAAGAACTCTCTTCCTCTTCTATGGGGTCATCGCCTTCTGAACCAAGCTCTGAGTCTAGTGAGAACTCACCAAGGTCAGGCTCATATGGCTCTCTAGCGGTGGAAGAAGGGCGAAAGAGTCTCTCCGGTGCAATGTGGCGAACTACGCGAACTAGGCGTGAGATGAAGCGAGATTGGCACTCCACATCTTCTCCAGCTTGCTCACACGGTCTAGGCTTGGTTCGCCATGCCAGTAGTGAGAACATGGCGTTCTTGGTGGCGGCGTTGAGCTTTGACTGTGCGCTGAAGTGTGCGATAGGTGAGGATGGGGAATGATGGTTTCTCACTTGATGGAACATAGAAGTCTTCCTCCTTGGGCTGGAAAGTGACAACACCTGAGCGTAGGCTTGGGATGTCTTCATGTGGCAGCAAGACAAGCGAAGTGTTGGTTGGTCCAATTGGAAACTCATAGCAAAACTTGGTTGGGTTTTGAGTCCAACGGTTTAGGAAGTGGATTTGCTGAAGGCATGGAGATCCAAAGGGGTTGGCTTGGGTAGTGGCTCATAGTTGGGAATGTCAATCCCCACATGTTGACTATGGCTGTGATGAGTCTCCCAAAACGCACACAAAGCTTCTTGTTGCCTTCCAAGTCTTGAGCTAGATTCCTCACATTGATAAGTGTCTTGGCAACAAAAGACCAAGGTTGGCCTTGTACTCATGCTTGATGAATGGTGTGGTGAGGATGTAGAACTCATCAGTTGTGACCTTGTTGGCTTCTTGTTTGCATTGAAAGTGGTGGAGATGAGGCGGTGCACATAGCGAATGGCTGGATGAGTGATTCTAGACACCTTTGATCTTGAAGGCAAGAATGGTTCATTGGCAAAGTGTGTCCAATCAGCAAAGGCAGCTTGTTTCCTTTTGAGTTCTCCTTGAAGTCATGTGCTGTCTCATTGGGAAGTCCAAAGAGTTGGCATAGAGCTGAGATGGAGATGCGCCCATTGGCATCGCCTATCTTGAAGAGTAGGAGTCCATCACCAGCTGGTTGGTCTCCATTGTTGTTGGGAAAGGCAAGAGCTACTGTGGAGAGGAACTCCTTGTAGTTGAGTACTCGCTGCACTCTATCTTGAAGAGCTTGCTCAAGCCTAGCTTCCTTAGATACCATGTGACATCATCTCTTATCTTGAGAAGGTCAAGGGTTGGGTGTCCATCTTCACACAAGGTTCGATGTTCACCTTCTCCATTGCCTTCTTGTACTTTCTTGGGTCTTGGATTTGTTCTCCAACAAAGCTTACAAGTGCCCAATCATCTTCTCCTTCTTTGGACTCTCCACATGTTCTTGATTGCATCAATGGAATGTGGTGAGTTGGTATTGCTGCTCTTGCATTGGAGCTACTACTCCCTAGCTTGATTTGTTTCTTGGTGGTTGCATGAATGGAGTCTTTCTTCTTCATGGCTTCACCTTCCTTTTGTCCTTGCCATTGGGTACCTACAAGAGCAAATTCTTGGGAAGAGACATGAGTTTGTGATTAATGCATAAGAAAGACAAGCTAATTTGAGAAGTTATAATGATTTGATTGAATGAAACAACTCAAAGCTTTACTAAGACTATGTTGGTACCCCACGTTATGCCGCGGTATAATTTTGTTGTATTTTTTCGTGTTTTAAAAGATTAAGTTATATTATAAAAATTATAAATTCATTTTTTATCCAATTTTTGTTATATTATTTTTATATTATGCAAAAACGGTTTTTTTTATTAATGTGTAATAACAAGTTTGCGGGGAAGATCGAGAGCTACGCTGCAAGAATTTTATATTTACTTTTTTATATTTATAGTTTTGTACTTGATTTTGAAAATAATTTACCCCAATTTTTTTGTTTAATAACCTTTATACGTTAGTTTGTATGATACATATAATATAAATCTAAACTTTATTTATCCAAAAGCTTTTAATTACTCTAGAGCTTTTGATTATCCAAGAGTTTTTGATTATCCGAGAGATTTTGATCACCCGCCCGAGAGCTTTTGATTACCCGCAAGTTTTTGATTATCCGAAAACTTTTGATTACCCGTAAGCTTTTGATTATCGGAAAGCTTTTGATTACCTGAGAGTGACTTCGCACGTAACAATAAAGTAAGAACTAATTAGTATATACCTAGTTGTGCGTATAATGTAATATAATTATAGTTTTATAAATTAATTCAATTTTTATATTATTTAGTTAAAAAATGAATTTTCCAAGTTTTTTGTTTATTAATACTGTAAGAAAAAGGGTGGCATAGTAAGATATACCTCTATAGGACAATTTTGTATGATAGATCATCAAACCGATATATAAAATACAAGTCTTAATTTTTAATTACCCGCGAGTTTTTGATTACCCGAGAATAACTTCACACAAAAGAGTAAGCTATATTTGCTAATTTTAATGTCAAATTTAGTTTTTATAAAAAGAACCTTAATTTATGACTATTTAGTTAGATTTTTTTTTGGAATAGTTTTTACTATATTCTGATATATGTATATTATTTATATTTTATTTTATCATAAAATATCTGTAAAATTAAGAATTGTAACCATACCATTGTTACTTTTAAATATTTTTTCTGTTTAGATTTATGAAAACAAATTTAATAAATTTGAAAACAAAAAATATGTCTTTTTTCGAGTTACTCTTAATATATCTTCAAAAATATATAGTTTTATGCTCTTTTTAATTTTCTTTGTCTAACCTTTTTTATTTTTATTTTGTAATCAGCTTTGTGATATTGTCCATCCTTTACGATTTTATTTCTCTTACCATTTCCCTTCAAGTCTTCAACATATGCTATATTTCAGAATTATCATTCACTCATTCTGTATGCTTTTATTTCTCTTACCATTTCCCTTGAACATATGCTATATTTTAGAATTATCAAACATTTCAAATCTATAAGATGAAATTTGTTCCCGAAGAGTTGTTTCCCAATTTGGAAACATTTGCGTTTAGGTTAAGTTGGAAAGAGATTAATATCTTTTTTACTGTTTCACTCAAATCCAGATATATAAGTCTTCAATATCATCACGGCTATGAATAAACAATGATCTGAATTTGGGTTTTGTTTTACTCTTTTTCATTTGCTTTCTTTTTCACCCGCGGGAGTTTTTTTAATCATAATCATTCCATTTACTTATGATTATTTAACCAGTTGGAAACTACATGAAACATTACGTATATTGAATATCAGAAAAACCTTGCACGAATAGGAAAAGTCAGACAAATGTTTGTATTGGTCACTGGTTTCACTCAAATATTGAGAAACCACCTCTCTGTATAATGTTAAATGGACTTTCCAGAGATAATATAGAGAATAGAAGCTAAGCGACTCTATTAAACAGAGCCATGCACTCTCTCTGTCTGTCAAGTGTCAACAACAACACTCTCAATCTTCTAGGCTTCTTCTTGCATAGAACCTGATGCAGATCCCTATGTCAAGGCTTGAAAAGGAGTTCTTGCAGATTCTTTCTTCTAATAGAGACCAGCTTGATCCTGAATCAGTCTCTGCTCATTCCTCAATCTCCAGCAATTCAGAATTCAAAGATGTTATGCAATCATCTTCTTCCGATGATGATGATGAGAAGAAGAAGGCTGGTGAGTCAATCAATCAGGTTGAGAAAGCCTCAGCTGTGGTGATATCAGACTTAAAAGTCATAGTAGAGACTATGATCAGCAAAGAGTGTATAAAAAGCTATAAGTTGAAGAAAGTCAATTGTAGACGAAGGCTTACACTTGCTTGGATCGAGAAGTTCAAGATTTCACGGTTTAACAGAATCGATTGGGGAATGCTCGAGATTATGATCAAGAAGTGGATCTAGAACGTGAGTTACATCTTCTTGATAAAGTCTTGCCATTCCAAAATCAGCAATCTTGGGAACCCATTTCTCATCAAGCAGAATGTTGCCAGCTTTAATATCTTTGTGAATGATACAGTTTGGTGCGTCTTCATGGAGGTAGAGAAGTCCTCTTGCAATGCCTGTTATGATCTCAAACCTCTGCTTCCAATCAATTTCTGCTTTTCTGTTGGATTCTGCATTCAAAACGAAGCAAAACCACTCGGTCAAAAACCAGATTCGAAACCACCAAATTAGTAACAATGAGAAGAAGAAGAAGGACTTACTGAAGAGGACCTTGTCGAGGCTCCCATTAGCGACGTATTCATAGACCAAGAGCTTATCATCTCCGTGTGTGCAATAACCCCAGAGATTAACCACATTCCGATGCTGGACTTTAGCTAACAACTTAACCTCGTTTACAAACTCGTTTTTCCCTTGCCTTGAGCCTTGAGCCTGAGCCTGAGCCTTGAGCCTTGAGCTAGCTTCTTCACTGCTATCTCTCTCCCATCATGTAACCTTCCCTATTTTACACACCAATCAAATCTCATCAGCCCAAAACCAACGAAAGCCACACACACTACGCTAATCATCTCCAGCTAAAGGAGGAAACTTTTATCGAATTGGGATTTGTTACCTTGAAGACGGGACCGAATCCACCTTCGCCGAGTTTGTGGGTGGGGTGGAAATCTTTGGCGGCGGAAACCAGGACTTGAATGGGAAAACTTTCTGCTCGAGAGCAGCTATTTTCTCGATATCGTCTTCGAGACCTTTTAAAGTCAAACGAAAAAGGAAGAAGAAGATGTTGTGACCTGTGAGTCGATTTGAACAAAATTGCAAACCCTAAGGATGAGAACTTGAAAATCAAAATAGGATTTTTACCTCGATTGGAGCTGCGTTTGAAGGGTTTAATGATGTTCTGGAAGAAATTCATGGACTTTGTCATGCGAATGGATTTGACTTTGGAGAAGAAGAAGAACAAACTCTCGTGGAAGAAGAAAACCGCAGCATAACCGGATAATGAATCAAAATAAATAAAGCGAACCGGATGAAAAACGTGAAACCTAAACCGACTAAGTTGCTGACTGTGATTAATTAAAATATTTATATTGGTTGATGGTTTATTAAAATGTTTCAGTTTAGAAGATTTTAAAAAATCAATGTGTCCTTACCTGGAGAGAAATAAGGGATTTTGTTGTGTGATTAAAGAAACAAATTGAAATTTCACTTTTCAAAATTAATTTCGGATTTTACTGTTCATCCCAAGATTATAGTGCACAAAATCAGAAAAATTAGCAAATCAAGAGAAATTTAGTTTATAATCCACGTATTCAAGAGATAAACTAATGAATTGAAGAATGACTAAACAATTTTAAGTTTTGAATCAAAGGTTTGGAATACCCAATAAGTTTTGTGAAAAACTATTCAATTATGAAATTAAACTCTAGAATTTCTTTAAACCACCTAGGTTCCACTTAGCTAAGTTCAATACAAGACTCATAAGGATGATAATTTTAAGTTTAGACAAGAATCTAAGCTGAACAAGAGATTATTGTGATTTTCGATCTTGCAAAATAAAGAGATTTAGAGTTCATACATTGTGTGTTGAAAAGTGAAGAGGGAAGAAAAAGTAAGCAAATCCCAAGTTTTAAATTATGAACAATACATTTTTTGAAAACAAAGCTTTTAGATATCCTTTAATGGAGTTTAGGGTTTTAGAGAAGAAAGAGAGATTTGTGTTCTTTGAAGAAGAAAAGGTAAAATAATAAAGTTCAAAGTCCAATTACAAATCCTTTTCAAGTTCGAATTTGGCCAGAAAATCGGTTAAATTCGGTTAAAACCGGTATGAATCACGAGAGTTTGGTCGATGGCCGAGGGATTGTGTCGCGATTGTTCGGCACCGTCGGCGGATTCTCGTTCGAATGTAAAGTCTGGCCGAGGGAAAGCGATTACTTCCCGGATCGACCGGTACGGTCGGTCCGTCCGCGTTTCGTCTTGGCCGAGCGTGGTCCATTGCCTCCCTATCCGTACGCGATAGTAAAGTCCAGCCGAGCAATGCACGTCGTCCCCGGGTCGTGCGTTCCACTCGGCCCGGTTAGAATTTTCACGGCCAGCCGATACACTGCGCATCCGTGGCCGGTGTTTTCGACCCGGATTGTGTCTTTTCACACTTTTTCTCCTTCTATCCTATCTGAAAACAAAGATAACAAGAAAACAAAACTAAACTTAAGAAATTTAAAGAACGAAAAACAATACTTCATGGGTTGCCTCCCATGCATCGCTTGTTTAAAGTCTTTAGCTTGACTGTAATGCCTCAGTGCTCAAGAGAAGATGGAGATTAGAGGAATTTTTGATCCTCCAAGTCCCTTCTCTTCCAAGTGAGTATCTGGTGGGTGATTCACAGCTGGATAGACAATCTCTCCATGAATGTATCTTGGTATAGTCGCCTTTGGAAAAAGTTGTAAAGTTCTTGCAACTTTCTCCTTGAATCCTTCGAGATTCTCATCAATGAGCTCGTTTGGGAAGAGGAGCTTCAGGTTGGGACAAGATTTGGGCTTCCTTGTATCTTTTTTAGCTTCAGCTTCATGTTCCATCTTGGATGATCCTTTGGGCGGGTTTGGTTTAGGTGCCTTAGTATTACTCCTTGCTTGAGTGGCAAGTTGCTTGGGCAAAAGAATGGAATCTTCCTTGATTGAATCATCAGCTGCTTCTCCTTTAGGTGGCTCTAGGGTAGCTTTCTCATCTTGAACCATGTCAACAAAAGAGTTTCTTGTTGAACACATAGGAAAAAACATATCTTTGTTCACCTTGTTGAAAGAAATCCTTTGATTTGGGAAATCAAATATGGCGCCCACAGTAGACAGGAAAGGGGTACTAAATATGAGAGGTCTATGGCTACTTTCTCTCATCTCCACGATTTGAAAGTCAGTAGATATAGAGCAATTTCCGATTTGCACCATCACATCAGGTACAAAACCATAAAGGGGTTTGTGAAAATGAATCAGCATAGTGATGCAGGTTTAGATTACCTCAAATTTTCACAATTTTTAAACCCAACTAGTTGAGCTCCAAGTGCACAGATGTGTTGTAGTCGGGGTTGATCACAAGGAGGAGGAAGTGTCTCTCTTTACACCTTATGAGATTGAGATGTAGCTAGCTCGCAATATGGGATGGTTTGGACCTAAAATAAAAAAAGAAGACAAAAGAAAAATGTGAGTGAGGTTGTAACAATTTAAAACAAGAGTTAGGCAAAGGATAATCATATGGAGCAATGATGAAAAGATAGTTGCATGGGATGTGTGTAGAGCCGTCTTGAACATGAATCACTAGTGTATGGTCTTTCCACTGTCGTGGCTCCAACCACTATGTTTAAAACAACCTAATATACTCAGCTTTCGTTGGCTATTAGTATTGCAAACATGCATTAAAGGTGATCAAGATTCAATTGTTCACAATGAACCATAACTCAACTTTTGTTGGCCATGACTCATTGCTCACCAAATACTAGTTTTGAGATCTAGATTCAGCACTGTGTGTTCTATTTCTCTAAGATCAGATTACTAGATGTACGGTAAAGTAATCATGCATTAAGTTCAAGTAAAGGTGAAGATCCATAAGATAAATCCCAATAAGTTGCAACATAATCAAATCATCACGGCCACCATAGATCTCCTCGGTCTAACTAAGAGATCTACTCGGCCATGATGCAAACAAAGCAAGCAAAGCATGATTGAAAGCATTATGCAAAAATTGTTGCTTCCCTTTGACTCCTTTGACCTTAAACCCTAGTTTACTTTCCTATAAAAGGCAAAGAGCCACGAATTAATCACAACTTTTGCTTAATTTTGTAATTTTCCTTTCTTCTTTTAGCTTTTACCCTCATCTTTATGTTTTTGAGCTTATGCTCATTGAATCTTAGATCTATGCCTTGTAATTGCTTATTTGCACTTATCTATTTCTAAGAAAGTTGTTAATCTTGCTTTTCTCTTTCATCTAATGTCTATTTCATTGCATTTTGCTGCTTTCTTAATCATGTTTAGTGAGTAGTTCCAACATTAGGATTAGAGATGGGTTAAATTATGAGTTGTTTATGCTTAATCTGTGTTGCTTAGTGTTCTTAGTCTAGAAATCTCCCTCTTTTGGATTGAGCTTTATGCAACACAACCATTATCCATGATGTGTTCGGTTTTAGGTGATTATCATCATGGAAATGAGTTGATAATCACTTGAACAAGCCCACTAAGAGCTTTAGCATACCTGTCTCACGAAAGTGACAGTTCTTGAGGGTGAGTTTGAACAAAGTTTCTAAATCCTTCAAGGCTTGATCTCATTGATTGACTCCCGTTTCTGAGATCTTCCCTTGATTGATAGTTTTCACCTTGGGAAAGGGTTAACTAGGCTTGAAAAGTTCAATACCAAGAGATTAGCTTGAGTACAAGTTGTTTAAGAGCACCATCGATTAAGTATAGCCTTCTCCTAGTTGCAAAACCCCGTCTTTAGTCATAATCTTCATCATTCAAGTCTAAAAACCGCACCTTTATTACTTTGCATTGGCACTGCTCTGTTTTTACTCTGTTTTAAGCCTAACTCGACCCTCAACTCGATCGAGCTCATTTCATACTCTGTTTCTGTACCAACTCGATCGAG